TAATTTTAAAATTAGGTATTGTAGCCTTATCGGAGTTCACCGATTGGGTCTGCGTTGCTCCGGGACAGGAGGAAGGAAGTCAAATGACACCGAGGTTGATTCAAAGAGTTTATTCTGCTCTCCGGATAGCAGAAGGCACTTGCGTGATCAAGTCCACAGCAAGTCCAAAGAAATGACAAGTTTCATGCAGTATATATATCCTCCAGGCACCCTCTCCCTCCTTCCAACCACGTCAGCCTATGTACGCAGGTTGACATCACATATGCTCTGGTATTCTTAACCATAAAAGGGTTTCCTTCCTGTACTTCTGACCATAAAAGGCTCTTCCTCTTCCTACTCTTATCTGGGAGGAAGAGGTCATCATCTCCGGGAACACGCTTTTGGCGTTTTTCCTGGACATCGGCCTGTGCGTCTTTTGTGGTCAGCACATAAGATGAGGTACTGACGTATCTTCTCTGTTCCCCTAGAAGAACAGCCAGGGTCATCCCTTGCCGTGACTGATAAAGGAGAGAACTTGTTTATGCAACTGTGTCCTTGTTATGCTTTTGCTCAACAGCTCAAGTTTTACGCATTTTAGAGTACTTTCTTGGAGAAAGAAGGAGGGGTTTGAGTCAGTTTTAAACTTACTGCACAGAAACCCATTCCTTCAGTATGAGCCCCACACAAAATTAAATTCCTACACCTTGAGGGAATTTAGCAGAGACTGAATTTCGTGTCTGAAGTAAGGAAGCACCATCTCCTGGGTCCGTTGCCTGCTTCTCCCTTTCTCTGCTGTATGGCACACCTGAAGTTGAGCGTTGAAGGAACTTAAGTGACCCAAGAAGAAACACTCCACTTTACCTGGATCCCTTTTTCCCTAAGGGCATATCTAAGCTAGCCTAATTTCAGAGGCTGGGAGTGCTGTTTTGGTCTACACTGATCCCCTTGGTGGACTGAGACTCAAATGGGCAAGCAGCAACAACACAGAACGACCAGTGTGCATTGGTTTAAATATCAGGAAAGCAGTTGCATAATACACAGGATGTTGCAGGTCAGCTGCTTTCCGCCCCTTGTTCCTCAAAATGAACCTCCAGGCTGTGTTTTCCCGCCCCCTCCCTCTGGTTTCTCACATCACATCCCCATCGATTATTCATCCAGCTTTCCCTTATGTCTTGATGGCGCCAGAGTGCCACCACCCCTTTGTATTGGGTAAATATTGTGTATTTAGCCACCAACCCCTCGATTCTCATTTGCTTCTAAAGTAGGGTGTTGCAGTCTGTCTCCACCTGGGACCGAAATCACACAATCATAGGCCCAAGCAGCTCTGAATCTTTCCCTTTCTGCCTGCTCACCTCTATGCTTGGGACAAGAGTGATGGCATAAACGTAGCTTTCTACGTCCTTTTGTCCACCGTTGTTGCCAAGGCACCAGGAATAAAAGCACCAACTTGGGTGCACAGAACCCGTTGATGATGCAGGCAAGCTATTGTAAACTGCCCTGAGGTCCACACCACACCAGCTCTAGTGCTTTGAAGCGCAGGGTGCGAAGGGAGCAAGCAGGCAGTGGCAAGAAGCTGAAGCCACAGTGTTCTGTCTTGGCAAAAGGCAGGGAGCAGAGAGACGGTTTTCTTCACAGGAGACTCGGGAGCTGGTTGCGAATCCCCTTGCTAAGCACTTCTGCAAAACGTTAATCTTCCCTTTGTTCTGCTATCAGCTGTTCAGGAGGCTGGCTTGCGCAAGGATTAGGATTTCTTATCAAGTGTATTTGTGTGTGCAGTGGGAGTGTAAAAATTCAGCTTACTGTACAATCAGCACAGGGAAATCTGTTCAAAACGACCCCCTCAAATATCACATGCAGCTTTCCCAAGAGCCTTTTGTAAGTGGCACCTCACCCTCCCCTTCCAAACCAGGTCTTTCCAAAGGGAAAGGATGGGTAGAGGATGCCCTGTGGAGCACATTCAGGCAAAGTCTTCCCCGCTACCAGCAATCCTAGCCCTTTACCTGGGAGTAAACCCAATAGGGTGGCGCTGTGGGTTAAACCACAGAGCCTAGGACTTGCCGATCAGAAGGTCGGCGGTTCAAATCCCCGTGACCGGGTGCGCTCCCGTTGCTCGGTCCCTGCTCCTGCCCGCCTAGCAGTTCAAAGTGCAAGTAGATAAATAGGTACCGCTCCGGCGGGAAGGTAAACGGCGTTTCCGTGCGCTGCTCTGGTTCTCCAGAAGCGGCTTAGTCATGCTGGCCACATGACCCGGAAGCTGTACGCCGGCTCCCTCGGCCAGTAAAGCGAGATGAGCGCCGCAACCCCAGAGTCGGCCACGACTGGACCTAATGGTCAGGGGTCCCTTTACCTTTACCTTAAACCAAATAGGACTTACTTCTGACACGGTTAGGATTGTATACTGTAGTAACACTTCCTGGAATGCCTTCACGCCTTCCTCCCCGAGCTTCAGAAAGGGCAGTATCACACCCACCATGGCAAGTGCATTTGGTATCTACAGACTAAGCCCTATTGAACCCAGAAAGAACCACCCTGCTGTAGAGATTGGATTTCCAAGTCCCCTTTCAGCCATGAGCCCCACTGGGCGACTTTAGACCAATCAGTACCTCAGCCTGACCTACACCACAAGGTTGTTGTGAGGGTAATGGGGGGAGAACCGTGAATTGAGCTCCATAGAGGAAAGGCAGCCTATAAATGTATTAAGTAGTGAAATAAATTAAAAAATATGCCTAGGCATAACTCCCACCTGACTCTTAAGATATACTGGGCAAGGCAAATGCCCAGTTTGAAACATAGCTGTCAACGTTTCCCTTTTTTAAGTGAAATTCCCTTATTCCGAATAGGATTCCTTGCAAGAAAAGGGAAAAGTTGACAGCTACTGACAGGATGCAAGTCTGAAAGTCTGACAGGATGCAAGGACCACCGGATGATGTACCGTATCACTCTTCTAAGAAGGGAATGCATTGATGGAATGATACCGTGTATAAGCTAGATGTGTACAGGAAGTAATACATCAGTGGTGGGATGTAGTGGTGGCACTAGAAGCAACCCTCTTCTGCTGCACACATATAACATGTATGCAACACACAGTCCATGCGCCAGTGCATTGTTGTGGCCAACAAACCTGGCATCAACTATCCACCCACCACTACAACAACCAGAATCTTTAGCATAGGCCAGACTGCATTTTACCAAATCAGTATCTGCTTTAAGAAACTGCAGAAACCAAATTCTTGATGCTTAATGCTCTATTGAGAACCTGAGTTTTTATTAATGAATGAGGGAAATGTGTTTTTTCCAAAACTGGAACACTGGGCTATTTGTACGTGCAAAACTGCCTCCAGGGTGTTTTTCATACATCCACCAACATGTCACACACTAGGAAATAACACCTTTCTCTCTGCATGCACCCATTCCTGGAGGCAGCTCCAAATTTCGCTCTCAAATATTTGGATTGTGTGACAGGGAACTCTCGGGCCCTTGCATTCTGTCAAAGGCACGGCCTGGTGGCTATTACAAGATCGTTTCCAGGATCCAAGTGGGAGGTTTTTCAGAACTCCTGCAAACAAGAATGTACCAGCCTGTGAATGTTAACAGTCTTTCACAGCTGGATGACGCAAAAAGCCACACACACCTTTTAATGCAAGATTTATTTATAAGCATTGATGAACCATTTAATATTTCAAAAATATCTCTACAGTATAAGACTTGCAACATAGTCATAATCAAACTGCTAGAGGGCCAGCCTAAGCCTGAGGACAGTCAAGTTTCAAATTCCATCTCACTTGTCTATCCTGCCTTGTAGGATTGTTGTCAGAATGAAAGGAGGGAAGAAACAGCAAAATCCATGTATGCCATCCTCAGTTCGTTGAAGGAAAGATGGGGTAAAAAAATGTGATCTAATATGAAAGTGAGATGAAGTCTCGTATGACCTGGAACTCGCAACCATAATGTTGTGTATTGATTTTCTGCTACCTTCAGTTGAAATAATTTTGTAATGCTGAAAATACACAGGGATGTTCCTATGAACTGAAAAGTCTCAGTGGCCCAATTTGCATAAAACGGCATGTGCTGCTTTATATAAATAGATGCAAATTCAGCTCTCCAAGCAATTTCAGGTGTATGCGTGTTCCACAGCGCTTTGCAGCACACCCTACAGTCCAGTATTATTATTATTATTATTATTATTATTATTATTATATATTTATTCCACTGTCTTGTTCCGTGACAGGGACTCAAGGTGGCTTAAAGATAAAATAGCTGAAAACATTGGGGGGGGGTGTCTCATTAAAAACATTAATAGAATTTAAACCATATATATATATATATATATATATATATATATATATATATATATAATCTATTCAAAACATACATACAATTACCATAAAAACAGCACAGCACCACGCCTCTTGTTAAAAGCAGCTGGCTGTCCAATGCTGGCAATATATTCATTTATACCATACATAAAAATATTTTTTTAAAAGTTCTAAAAGAGCTGGCGGCACAGAGGCGAAGGCCAGGAGACAAGTGACCTCGCCTTCCCATCCTCTCAACCACCCCCACCTTATTAGCCATCTTTTGCCCAGTATTGCTTGAACTGTAGATTGTAAGCCCTTCGGGGCAGAGGCCTGCATTTCTTCCCGAGCCTGTTTTGCAAGGCCACGAGGGTGCTGCTTTGACTGGCCAATGCTTGACGTCCCATGCCCCTGCTTATCACCGGGCTCTTCCCCGCTCCCTTCACTACCACCACCACCACCCTCCCTCCTCCTTTCAAGGGGCGCCTCCTCCTCCTCAACATGGCGACGGGCGCCCATTGAAGAGAACACCCGAAGACCTTCCCAACATGGCGAGCCTCCCCCGCCCTCCTCAACATGGCGCCGCCTTCTCTTCCGAGCGGCTAGCGCCCTTCCCATCATGGCGGCCGCACAGCCCGCTCGGTTCGGGGACGCTTTTGCCAGCCGACCTTCCCAAAATGGCGCCCGTTTGCCTTCTCTCTCTCTCCCCCCCCCCCAAACTACGCGCCCCTCTTTCCGACCCACGCCGCCAGCTCTCCAGGCCTATTAAAAGCCTCCCCCCGTCTTCCCTCGGTCGTTTCTCTATCGGCGTGAGGAGGATTAAAGTACAGAAAACCCAACCCTCGTTGCCCTTCCCATCATGGCGGCGCGGCGGCTCCCCTCACGCCGTGCGTCCTCCCTTCCCCCCTCCCCTCCGGCCTGCTGCTGCTCCTGCCACCACCGCCCGACTCGAGTGCCGCCCGAGCTAGGCCCGTTCTGAGGCGCCCGCCTTCCCGGCTTTATTATTTCCCCCCCTTTTGCTCCCGCCATCGCGGCAGCGGCGGCGGCGGCGGCGGCTCCTCAGCCGTGAGGTGGCGAGGCCTCCTCTCAGCCTAGGCCGCGCCTGTTTCCCCTCAGCCGAGCCCGAGGAGGGGCGCGCGCCCGCTCCCCTCCTCCTCCTCCTCCTCCCTCCTTCCCTCGCTCCCGCGTGTGCGGGTCTCCCGCGCCCAGTCGCAGCAGCCTCCTCCTCCGCCACATCCCGCCGCCGCCGCCCTCCTCCTCCTGCCTGCCTGGCTTCTCCTTCTTCCTCCACGGCGCAGGCCCGCCGCAGCGCAGCCGCTCTGAGGTGAGTGTCCTACCGCGCAATCTCCCAGCAGCTCCTCACTCGCCTCGCGCCAGACCCGGCGCAGCCGCAGCAACGCGGGGGCCCCGCACCTCCTCGCCCTCCGCCTCCTCCTCCTCCTCTTCCCCAGAAGAAGAAGAAGAAGAAGAAGGGGGAAAGGACCGCGAGCCGCCCCCGCCGACCGGGCGCGCGCACGCTCCCACCCCCCTCACGAACACCCCCCCCCTCACACCGGGGCCGCCGCCGCCCCCTCTTGCCCCCGCGGGCCGAGGCCTGACTAGGCCCCGAGGAGCCTCTGAGGGGAAGGAGGGAGACTTAGGCCGGCCGTGAGGGGGGGTTCCCTTTAAAAAATAGGAGGTTATTTTGACCCTCTTTATGAGGGGGGGGAGAGGAAGAAGAGACCCTAACTCGGGGGAGGGCTGTGTTGTTGTTGTTATTAATTGCACTTATTTTATTTCCCGCCCTCTTTTCGCGCTAGGCCGCGACTCCTGGGGTCGATTTGTACGGCTACTTGATATTCCATCCCCCCCTTTTTTTCTCTTAATCCTGGGCGCGGGAGGGAAAGGGACGCGCGCGCCTTTTTTCGGGGAACCCCCCTCCTCATACACAGACTCAGGGCAGTGTCAAGATGGGGGGGTCTTCCTATTTTTCTTTCCAACCCCCCCCCCCAATCTGCTTTCTTTCCAAATCCTCCTTGATTTTGGACGTGGAGATGGGGCGGCCTCCTGATGAAATCCAGGATAATTCCAAGCAGCCAAGAACAACCTCACCCTGCTCTTTCCCCCTTAAATAGGAACCCCCTTTTTTGTCCACCTCCCCATTTTGAGAAAGCGGGGGGCATAAGGTACTGGTTGGAAAGCAGTAACTTTGAAGGATTTGCCTGCCCCCACCCCTTATTTTTTTCTTTCTTTCTTTACTGGAGGCCAGAGACTTTTTTTAAAAAAAGATTTTCCGTCTTCTTGCACAAAGGGGATTTTTAAAGTTGAAAGGTGGGGCAAACTTACCCTAAATAAATACATTTAATCTATTGATAAGAAGGGAGGCAGTCACCAGGTGTTTTTTGTGGTGCGGGGGGGGGCATAGGCGCCCAGCCTAATCTCTATTGTTGGGATTCCTAACAGAAGTGCAAACTTCTGTCTCAAGTTGATTTCCCCCCACTGACTGCTCTTGATCCCCCAGTCATTGAGAACGGTGGGCCCTTGCATGCTCTGTAAGAGAAAGAATGTTTACCACTGAGAATTTGACAATTGGACGGTGTATAAATTCTGTTAAATAAATATATTTCTCCTGGGTTCTGGTTATATGCAGACTTGCATCTTTTTAATGTTTAAATTGCACCCACCCCAATCCTTTTGGATAGTGCAGAAGGGGACCAGAGTGCAGGTGCCTAACCTATTCCCACAGTCTTTACCTGTCCCTAAATTGGTGTGTGTGCTTTTACCCCTTGACTGGTTGGCATGGAAGGAAGAGTCCCTGTTTGCCTCAAGAAATGCAGGGTGCTCCGTCCAGGGTGAGGATCCTTGCAAGAGAGCAAATCTGTATTCTTAGACAGGGAGGAGATGGATTCTTTAGACAGCTCTCGTTCCTGGAAATGGGTGGATTAAGGCTTGGAAGTCTTTGCAGCTCTGGTGGGGAATGCTAGAAAGCTCATGGCTCATTGGCTGTGCTAAGGAAGCTGTAGCGAAACTATCATTGCTCAACTTGCTGCTGTAGCTTCCCCAAAAAAGCAGGGTGGGGGAGGGAGAACCTGTGGCCCTCCAGTTGTTGGACTACAACTCCCATCATCCCTGACCCATTGACCATGCTGGCTGAGAGTTGGAGGGCCAAAATCTAGAGGGACACAGGTTCCCCATCTCTACCAAAATTGTTGCCCAATTCCCTTCCCTATTAGGACCCAGAAAAAGGCAGATATCTCACTGGTTCTTTCAGTAGGTTCAGGGACTAGCACAGCCTTAAGCACCCTGCAGTTTAGGATCTGGGCCACAGCGTTGGAGAGGCCTTTAGTGTGTGCATTTAGTGTCTTGCAAGTGCCTTTCAAAAAGGAGTGCTCCATTCCTATCCTAGATTTCCTTCCTTCCTTCCTTCCTTCCTTCCTTCCTTCCTTCCTTCCTTCCTTCCTTCCTTGTTCTTTCCAAGATGTTTGATGTGTGAAGGGGCCGTTGGGTTTTTACCCTCACATTAGCTATGTCTCAGAAGCAGGTGATGAGAGGTAGAAGTTTTGTATACTAACCCTCTTCCCAAACTGTGTTGGGAGGAATGAGCCAAGGCTCAAAAGTTGCTGTAGCAGAGGAGCTGCTTGTCAGGGGAAGTGGCAGACTGCCTATCCTTTGCATATCAATAGAAACTGGGTGTGGTGGAGTTCCTTTTATCTAATGCAGGCTAGGCTTTGAACTGTGCAGGGCTGCAAGGGCACTGGAGGAGAGAGAGAGGGAATGGCTTCTTCCCCAGACCTATGGTTATGTGGGAGTGGTTTGAATAAAACTTAGTGCATTTAACACAACTTGGATAAGAAGTGTATGGCGGAAGCTGTAGTGCAATTTGTTTGAAAGTTAACCTCTGTGTACCAATTTTTATGATGTTGTACTGGAGGCCAGAGACATGTGCAGATACAGGACTTCTGTTTCAGTGTATCTGAAGAAGTTTGCATGCACACGAAAGCTTATACCCAGAACAAACTTAGTTGGTCTCTTAAGATGCTGCTGGACAAAATTTTTATTTATTTATTTTATTTCAACTGCATCAGACCAACACTTCTACCTACCTGAATCTAGATACAGGATATGTAAGATACTTTGGTTAACATTGCATTTTGTCTGGCATAACTTGCAGTGTTAGAAACTCAGATATATAATCTAATTTGCCCAATGGCACCTTAAACCTGGGTTACGGTTGCCACAATGGGTGCCCTTTTCCCCCCAGTGCATTTTTTTTAAAACACATATTATTGATTTCATTTCTATACTACTTTATATTTTAAAGAACAGCTCTCAAAGTGGTTTGCAACGTTTTAAAACATCAAATAAAACAATCCAGAGTAAAACAAATGAAAGCTTCAAGGAAAATATTTCAGATCTTTCTCTAAGTGACATTTTGCTTTCCCCAGTCACCAGCCTGGCATTCAGAGATCCCCACATAGTCATCGTAGGACCCGTGTCAGTCACAAAACACACATGGTGCCTGACTAATTTCTGTCATTGGGCATAAGATACTGGGAGGGACACCAGCACTAGCCCTCTACACCAGAAGAGAGAAGCTGGGTCAGTTGCTTGTAGCTGTGACTTCGTACAGTGCATCAAGGTGCAAATAATTTTTATCCTTGTTAGAATTGCAGCCTCCCCACAGTTTTTATGCAAGAGGGAAACAGTGGCAGTAAAACTGGTTTTTAAATAGTTTTCTTTGATATGCAGAGGACCCTTAGAAAGTGTTATCTGGAACCAGGAAAATTCATCTTCTGTTATCCCACAAGGATAATTTCTCCCTGGGCTTTTTTCTTTCTTTCCTGAAAATGTCAACATTTGTTTTGCTGCATTCATGTTTCAAAGCGGAGTGGAGCTTCTGTGTCTGCAGTCTCCACTTCTCTTTAGGCTTGCTTCAGACAAGACTCATTTCCTACAAGGAAGTAACTGAAACCGCTTCTTTAAATTGGCTCATGCAGTATGATGGTAAGCATTTTGCCTGAAAGCAAGTCTCGCTGCTACTTACTGCCTCGATCCCCACACATGATCCTCCTACACAGGATGCTTTCACATATCCTTGCTATCATTCAGTTCTTTGCCAAAAAAATTCTCGCCTCACCTAAAACGTGTAGATAAAATTTCTGCAAGAAGGAAAGAGGTGTGTGCGTGCAATACACATACAGTGGTACCTCGGGATGTGGACGGGATCCGTTCCAGAGCCCCGTTTGCATCCAGAAGCAAATGTAACTAGCGACGGCACTTCTGCGTACGCGCGCATCGCTTTTTGCCGCTTCTGCACATGCGTGTGACTGCATTTTGAGCGTCTGCGCATGCGTGAGCGGCGAAACCCGGAAGTAGCGAACTCCCTTACTTCCGGGTTGCCGTGGAGCGTAACTTGAACACGCTCAACATGAAGCATCTTCAACCCATGGTATGACTGTGCATGGTTAATGTACATAACTTAAAGCAAATGTTTTTGACACACAAAGTGAATCCTGTGTCAGTAGAGATACAGGCTGGATCTAGACCAGGGGTCAGCAAACTTTTTCAGCAGGGGGCCGGTCCACTGTCCCTCAGACCTTGTGGGGGACCGGACTATATTTTGGGGAAAAAATTGAATGAATTCCTATGCCCCACAAATAACCCAGCGATGCATTTTAAATAAAAGAACACATTCTACTCATGTAAAAACACACTGATTCCTGGACCGTCCGCAGGCCGGATTGAGAAGGCGATTGGGCCAGATTTGGCCCCCAGGCCTTAGTTTGCTGACCCCTGATCTAGACACACCGAAGAAAACAGGTAGAGAAAAAACAGGACTCCATATCTCCATCTGATGGCACAATGTTACATTGCATATACAATGCATTTGTTGTTAAGTTGTTTAGTTGTGTTTGATAAATCACTTTTTCTTTACTAGTCTAGCTGAGTTCACTGTGATTTATAGACTGTTACAGTGTTGGGCCAGAGCAAGAGAAACACATTCAGATCCCCTGAACACTCAAGGTTCAGATCAGACAAAAGAAGTCACTCGCACAGCACATAGATATTGGGAAGGAGACAGACCATAAGCCTGTGTTTGCATATAACACTAAGCCAAACTATAGTTTGGCTCCACGTAGAGCATCAGGAACAGCAGAGGAGTGAAGTGGCCGTGATTTTTCATCTTGGACAGATATCAGCACACGTATTCATTCTTGCTAAACTTCAGTTTTGACTTAACTTAGTTATAGATGAACCAGACCGCAGTCTCAGGTCAATCCGCTTCACGGAAATGCTCTGAGCTTGGCAGTAGGATGAAAACAGAAATGTAGCCTAAGAAAAATAATCAGAATTTAATGGAAGTATCTTCCCACACTAGAATTCCAATTAATGTTTTGTGATAAAAGCAAGAGTCTTCTAGTAGCACAGTCATACCTCTGGTTGCGTTTGCTTCATGTTGTGGATTTTTGGGTTGTGAATGCAGCAAGTGTATACCTCCAGGTTTCACTGCATGCGCAGAAGCGATCTGCGTGTTTTGTGCATGCACAGAAGCGCTCTTTCGCGCACGCGCAGTAGTGTCACTCTACTTACGGTCTTTTTGGGGTGCAAATGGCACCCCAAAATGGATCACGTTCGTAAGTAGAGGTACCACTGTATAGCAAATAAGGATGCTGGTGGGATAAAAATTAGTTACGTTTATTGTTCATAATTCTGTTATATTGGGTGGGGGGAAGAAATACTTAACAGTACAAATCAAAGGGTTGCTTACCTGATTTCACCATAGCATTGAGAGTGTTGTAATAAGCAGGCCCTGCTTCCAGAAAACGGAGATAATTTCTTTCCATGGTCTTAATCTTTAAATCTCTTTGGCTACTTCTGTCTTCTGTTATGGTCTATATCATTCAGTGTGTTAGCTAGAGGGGCTGTACTTTTGCTTTTAACTTTTGTCTTACTGTTGCTCCACCCACCCGTAATACTTTTGTCATACTCTTGTTTCCAGTGGCATTGGGGCACCGGTCTCCCAAGCCCGGGTGTGGTGTTCCAGCATAGCATTTTAAACTCTCACCCTTGCACCATCACAAATACGAGGCTGGCAGAGGACAGGGCACGACGACCCCAAGTCAGCAAGCTGCACACGTAAAAGAATCTGTGAACGGAACAGAATTCTGGGGTTACTTTGGCCCCCAAGTCTGCCGTGGATTCCTGAACTTGCACATGAAGGCGTAGGATTCATAGTCTGACCACTGGTTTATTTAGCCCAGGATTTTCTACTGTGGCAGCAGCGCTCAAGGGTCTTAGGCAGAGATCTTTGCCAACAGATGTTTTAAAATGAGACCTTCCACCACTGAGCTTTGTCCGACTGCTAACATAGGCCATGACAGCTTGTCACATACTTGGTCTGATTCCACATGCTTTCCCCACTAATGAGTTTTAGGCATAGTTTTGGGCCTGCTGGCTGAGTAATGTCCAGGCCCAGTGTGTGTGCTTTTTACTTGCTTGCTATGATGCCATGTTGCTCTCTAGCTTAGAGTAGAGGGGTGCAGACATCCTCCATAGATGTGTTGAGTTTCCAAGGGTTCAGTAGGTTCACCCCACCCCCAGTATGTGGCTAAGGACCTACAGGCTAGCCTTGTGTGTGTGTCTATTCAAGGGTTAGTACACATTTATACATATTTTACACACACACACAAATTTTCATTAAGTTTTTGAAGAAAAAAATTATAAAACAAAACGATGGGTTCCATCTTTAAGATTAAATTTACTGTATCTTTTACCATTATCTATCTATTCTATAACTATAATTTACCATTAAAAAATTCCGCATTATGAGTGTCTTTACATCCCTGCCAAAGATTTTAACTTTTTACAGTGGTCTTTTAAGTAAATTACAAATTTACTCTAGTCTTTAGAAAATACCTGGTTTCGGATCTTCCCCATCAGTTTTGCCATTTCCACATACTCCATTAGTTTCGTCTGCCATTCTTTTGTTGGTACTTCTCCTTCCTTCACTTCTGGGCTAGTAGTATTCCTGCTGCTGTTGTTGCATACATAAAAAGTCTTTTCTCTTGGGAACTCTTCACCTATAATACCTAGTAAAAAGGCTTCTGGTTTTTTGACAAACGTATTTTTAAACATTTTCTTTAAATATATATATATTTCGAGCCTTTACCAATGTATGAGTCACCACTGAGTTCAGTGAGGTTTCATACAATTGCAGCCTAGGTTCATTCCCACTTTACGTCTTAAGCAGTCATTGTTGCAACCCCTTAAGAGTCACAGCTCCTTATGGTCTTGTCACCAACATAATGCTAAGGACCCATCTGTCAATGCAAGGATTTATGCTTTTGCAACAGAACTTCTCCCTCCCTCATCCCCTAAATCTGCTCTGGGTTCCCCCCCCAACCCCCCCCTCCGAGCAGATTTGAGGAGGGCAGGGGCAGGACAACTGGATTGCACAACTGGAAATCCTTGAGGACTGGTTACTTAGCACTACTTTGGATATAACCCTGAACATGTAAAGGAGCTATGAATCTGGAAGAGCTGGGCTACTCTTTTGCACTGTGACTGACAGAGAGGCTCCCTGTCCTGCAAATTCATGAAATCTGTGAAAGACTTAACAAATCTTGTGTCCAGGTGCCCCGACTTTGTGGAACGCTCTGTCCCAAGAGACTAGGGCCCTGCGGGACTTGACATCTTTCCGCAGGGCCTGCAAGATGGAGCTGTTCCGCCTGGCCTTTGGTTTGGACTCAGTCTGACCCTTATATTTCCTTCCCCTTATGGTTTTGATCTATGGGCTACTTTTAAAATGAGGCTGCATTTTAAAATGCATTTTAAATTGTGTTTTTCCCCCTATTATGTTTTTACTGTAATTTTACTGGTGTTAGCTGCCCTGAGCCCGGCTCTGGCTGGGGAGGGTGGGGTATAAATAAAAATTACTATTTTTATTATTATGTGTAAAAACCATAAATGTCATAGAGGAGTTCTGTCTGACAATGATGTCTGACAACTACTTCCATGTCGAAGTACAGATCATCTGTCTTTGCCTTGTGTTCAACTGGAAACAGCCTGAGCCCAACGCCTCTCAGGATCATCAATCTCCATTTCACCCTTCCTGGGTTCTGGCTATGGTATCATCCTTATAAGAGATGAGATCAGATAGCAAAGAAGCAGACAGATCTCAGGGCCTCCTCAGTGCTGGCCCCTGTACTCTGGAAGCGTGTTAGCAAGAAGATAAACCACAACCTGCTCCTGTTTATTTTTGGAGGAGGAATTAATGGAAGGCAGTTCTTTTTTCTTGAGCCTTTGGTTGGGCTCTCTTTAGCCTTCCCAGCTGCACTTCTGGGATCAGTCCCACTTGCTACAGAAACCTCTTCCTTGCAATGTCAGAGATCAGTGCCTGATAAAGGACGGCAGGGTGTTTGTGTGTGTTGGGGCTCCTTTCACCCAGTGCCCTGCTCTGTCAGCGTTCGTCGCTTGTTCAGCTGGTACATGCAAGTACATATTATGCAGCTGCCTTTCTCTTTGAGGGGTGACAATTGTTTTAAATTGCCCGGCTGCCCTGTATCAAGACCTGTCTTCAGGCAAGCAGCTCAGAGCGCTTGCTAATGAGAATTTTCTCCGATGCCAAAATCCAACAGCCATTTTGCTGTTAACTTGCTTAAAACAAAGAGCTGCTTTGTATTCCCCTCTCCTTTTCGCTAGCAGCCCAGACTGTTTTTTCTTCTTTTTCAAGACTGTGATTATCTTCTTTTAAAATATGCTTCTAGCAGGGACTCTGCTTTGAAAATGTCAGTCCTGTAGGTGTGATATTTTGGGGAGAGGTTTCTAGGCAGGCAGTGCACACAGAAGGGACCATTGCCCCAATCCTGGTTACTGGTTTGTTTGTTTTCACACAGCCCCCAATCAGCTGCTGGCTATGAATATTTCCATATCACATAGCTGACATATGAAGGTGAGAGAAACACTTCAGCTCAAAAGTAACATTTGCTTGACTGGTTAAAATAGGATTTTGGGCCATCTTGACTTTGGTAGAGATTGTTGCTTTCCAAAGTGGGTGGACTTGGAATCAAGGCATGGGTGGGCTTAGAATAATGCTTGAGGTTTATACTGGCTGCAAATTGACCGCCTCAAGTCTGCTGTTTTCCAAAACCTGCAGATCTTGACTGCTGAAAGAGGAGAACTGTCGGACCTTTTGGGCGGGGGGTATGTTGTGTACATTTTTATATAAAGATTTACTGTCAGAAAGTTTTCCCTGATGTTGAGTGGGAATCCCCTTTCTTGTATCTTGAAGCCAAGGGTTCGAGTGCTACTCTCCAGAGCACTCAGTGCTCTCTGGTCTAAAAGCAGTCTGGAGGCACACGCAATGTGTACCACACCTCTTTCCAAATGGCCAGTTCTTGCATTTTCACATGTTATCTGTCAACGTCTACCAACACCTCTCCTAGCTGAAGTAGAAGCCTCTTGGTTCAGGCTATCCTTGCCCACAAACTTGATCTCAGCCACCTTCTGAGCAGGTGCTTCCCATGACAGTTCTTCTTTGGAATCAAGAGCACAGCTTGGCAGCCTCCAGTTATACTGCTACAACCTTCAGCCAAGCACTCGTCCGACAAGCGGCAGTTACGCTTTACTATTATTTATTGAATTTATATGCCGCCTTATACCCGGAGGTCTCGGGGCAGTTCACAGAAAAGATCAACATAAAAAGTCTTTGGGGAATAAATGGAGCAGGATATGGAAGAGACTTGGAACATTAGATCATGGCACTCTTAATCTCAGAGTCCCACGTTGGGCAAAAGTTTCCTGCTTTGCAGGCAGTTGGACTAGATGACTCTTGTGGTCCCTTCCAACTCATTATGATTCCATGATTAACTTGAAAACTTTAATTTAAGGGGTGCTACTGAATTGTTTGGAGGATGCCTGCCACAGTGAGCAGAGCAGAACTCTTTGGCCTCTCTCCATAGCTAGACAAACCCAAATCCTTGCCTCAGTTATTGCCCAATTCACTCAGTTATCATGCAGTGCAAAATCTAGAGAATTTGGCTTTCGGAGAGGCACATCCGCCTGTCCTTTCCACACCACAGAGTGAACTGTATGGCTCCACAGAGGCCTTCAAGAGTCCTCCATATGAACCATCTCCAGCCTCCCTCGATTGAGCATTCATGTGCACATGCACAGCACCTTTGGAGTCTGAGGCCTCTGCAGCAGTTGTCTGCTTCCCCTACCCAAGTAATGAAAAATGCTGTAAAAGGGTTTGAAGCCTGCAGGGCTTGGAACACGCCCACCCCACCCCCCGCCTTCGCCAGCACTAGAGTTCTTGGGGAATTAAGGATATGGTACCCGTATTTCGGGGACGCAGATGGCGCTGTGGGTTAAACCACAGAGTCTAGGACTTGCTGATCAGAAGGTCGGCAGTTCGAATCCCCGCGACGGGGTGAGCTCCCGTTGCTCGGTTCCTGCTCCTGCCAACCTAGCAGTTCGAAAGCACGTCAAAGTGCAAGTAGATAAATAGGTACCACTCTGGGGGGAAGGTAAATGGCGTTTCCATGTGCTGCTCTGGTTCGCCAGAAGCGGTTTAGTCGTGCTGGCCACATGACCCGGAAGCTGTATGCCGGCTCCCTCGGCCAGTAAAGCGAGATGAGCGCCGCAATCCCAGAGTCGGCCACGACTGGACCTAATGGTCAGGGGTCCCTTTACCTTTAACCTGTATTTCAGAACAACCCAAATTCTGTTCGAATGTCTGGTTAAACAAATGGAGTTGCATCCAGACACTGAGCCTGGGGAGTTCTACTTACAAAAGGGACTTTTCCTTTCCTCTCCAAGGGCACCCTCAAAATCTTCTCCAGAAAGTCCTCCAAACTTCTGGAGAAGATGTTGGGCAGAGGGGCTTCAGGGGAGGGGAGAGGGGAGAGTTGCACAAACAGATGTCTGCAGTCAGCATCAGATGGTACCCACAGGTTTGGTTGAAGTTTTTCTGGACCACACCAGAGCATGGGCCCATCCATCTCTCATATTGTCCACCCGATGTTAGGTTCTCAAGCATTTTAAGCTATGCGCACAGCTCGATGGACACAAAAGCTGTATTTCCGCATTATGTTTTCACTAAATTTTATCAGTTTAAGAACAGGTAATTTTTAGCACCTGCATTTTCTACCCACACAGCCTTGTAACATAAGCTTCTAGTTATGTAACCCCATCAGTAATCTTACCAAACTTGCTGGTACTAATTGGCGACTGAAGGCTAATTAGCCTTTGTTATTACAAAGAAAATGGATTGTTAGCTTTTAGCGTTCTGTGATTCTTTATACAGTGCAACTGCAGTGTTTTGTGTGTGTTTCATATATTTATTATATAAAAAAACTTGGCAAAGCAGCATCTTAGAAAACGGACACAGAACCAAGACAAAGGATACAAAGGCCCATTTCCCATTCCACCCCCACATCTGCTCTCTATTCTGAAGTATTCTTAGAAATCTCGTTCTGTGTTTGTGGTTGCTTTCTGTTGCTAGGGATCATTAGGAAAGGGACTGAAAATAAAAACTGTCAGTATTATAATGCCATAATACAAACCTATTGGGCAACTGCAGTTGGAATATTGTGTATAGTTCTAATAGCCACAACTTAAAAAGGACATTGCAGTGCTGGATAAGGTTCAGAAAAGGGTAACCGAAAATGATCAAGGAGATGGAGTAGTTCCTCCATGAAGAAAGAGTGGACATGATAGAAATTAATTAAAATTGTGCTATGGCACAGAGCAGGCTTCCTCAAACTCAGCCCTCCAGATGTTTTTGGCCTACAACTCCCATGATCCCTAGCTAGCAGGACCAGTGGTCAGGGATTAAGGGAACTGTAGTCTCAAAAACATCTGGAGGGCCGAGTTTGAGGAAGCCTGGCATAGAGAATGCAGAGAAGTCTTTCTCCCTCTTTTGCAATACATTATTATTATTATTATTATTATTATTATTATTATTATTATTAATACCCTGCCCATCTGGCTGGGTTTCCCCAGCCACTCTGGGCGGCTTCCAACAGAACACCAAAATACAATAACCTATTAAACATTAAAAGCTTCCCTAAACAGGGCTGCCTTCAGATGTCTTCTAAAAGTCTGGTGGTAGTTCTCTTTGACATCTGGTGGGAGGGCGTTCCACAGGGAGGGCGCCACTACCGAGAAGGCCCTCTGCCTGGTTCCCTATAACCTTCAGATATACTGGACCGAGGCCGTTTATGGCTTTCAAGGTCAGCACCAACACTTTGAATTGTGCTCGGAAACGTACTGGGAGCCAATGTAAGTCTTTCAAGACCGGTGTTATATGGTCTCAGCGGCTGCTCCCAGTCACCAGTCTAGCTGCTGCATTCTGGATTAGTTGTAGTTTCCGGGTCACCTTCAAAGGTAGAGCGCATTGCAGTAGTCCAAGCGGGAGATAACTAGAGCATGCACCACTCTGAACTTGTGGATATCCAACGAAGCTGAGTGTTGGTTCAGGACAGAAAAAAAGAAGGTATTTCTTCACGCTGCACATAGTTGAACTATGGAACTCCCTCCCACAAGAGACAGTCATGGCAACTGACTTGGACAATTTTAAAAGAGGATTAGACAAATTAATGGAGGAGAGGACTCCAGTGGCTACTAGCTATGAAGGCTCTGCTCTGCTTCCAAAGTTAGGAGGCAGCAATGATTCCAAATATCGGCTGCAAGAAATCACAGGAGGAGAAGAGTTGATCTTGCGCTCAAATCCTGCTTGTGGGTTTCCCACAGGGATCTGGTTGGCCACTGTGAGAACAGGATTCTGGGCATGACTGGCCGCTGGCCTGATCCAGCAGGCTTTTCTTATGTTCTTACATTAATAAAGCGATGGAAGGAGTGGGGATGTCCTGCAAGCAATTGCAGTGGACGCTCCGGTTGCGAACGTGATCCATGTGGGATGCATGTCCGCAATCCGCAGCGTTTGCAACCTGCGTCTGTGCACGTGCGGGTTGCGATTCAGCGCTTCTGCACATGTGCAAAGCGCGATTTAGCGCTTCTGTGCATGTGCGACTGCCAAAACCTGGAAGTAACCCGTTCCAGTACTTCCGGGTTTCGGTGGTCTGTAACCCGAAAAAATGCAACCTGAAGCGGCTGTAACCCGAGGTATGACTGCATTAGTTCAGACCTCTGGCGAGACTGATCTTCCTTCTCCTGGCACTACGGAGGGGCGGGTGGTAGAGAAAGTGAAGTGGCCCACTTGGCTCTGGCCTCACTGCCAGCATTCAGTCCCCAACAGATTGCCCCTGAAGGATCATGCCTGGTTTGTACATCCGATGAGCCACGCTGCCTCTGTTATAACGGTGAATAATCAGGGCACAACCCAATGCTTTAAAGTGCATTAGCGACCTTCACACCACATGTATAACATGAAACCTGACTGCTTGGGAAAGGAAACGCATGAATACTGAATGAGACCTTCATCCTGTTCTTTAGGATTTTAAGTTACAGTGCCGTTTTAACTTCGGGTTTTAGATTACGCCCCTGAAGAGGGGTTGCTCTGATGTCTGAAAGAGGAGCCGTTCCTTGTCTTTTAATTATAAATCCAGTATATCTGAAGGAGCGTCTCCACCCCCATCGTTCTGCCCAGACACTGAGGTCCAGCTCCAAGGGCCTTCTGGCGGTTCCCTCCCTGCGAGAAGCCAAGTTACAGGGAACCAGGCAGAGGGCCTTCTCGGCGGTGGCACCTGCCCTGTGGAACGCCCTCCCACCAGATGTCAAAGAGAACAACAACTACCAAACTTTTAGAAGACATCTGAAGGCAGCCCTGTTCAGGGAAGCTTTTCATGTTTGATGCATTACTGTATTTTAATATTTTGTTGGAAGCCGCCCAGAGTGGCTGGGGTGGCCCAGCCAGATGGGCGGGGTATATTTATTTATTTACAGTCTCCTTCGGGAGGTTGTGGACTCTCCTTCCTTGGAGGTTGGATGGCCCTCTGTCATGGATGCTTTAGTTGAGATTCCTGCATTGCAAGGGATTAGAATAGATGACCCACGATGTCCCTTCCAACTCTACAATTCTATGATTCTATGAATAGGGGGAGGGAATATATATCAAAAATAAAAATATTGTCCAGTAGCACCTTAGAGACCAACTAAGTTTGTTCTTGGTATGAGCTTTCGTGTGCATGAAAGCTCATACCAAGAACAAACTTAGTTGGTCTCTAAGGTGCTACAGGACAATTTTATTTTTATTTTATTTTTATTTTTTATTTCTACTTTGTCAGACCAACACGGCTACCTACCTGAATCTAGGGGGAGGGAGACAGTCACATCAGGGGCCACGCTCAGCCAGTGACTCCTGAGACGCGTCAGCCTGCGTTTTCTGTCACTAGCCAGTCAGGTCGCAATGCAGGTTCAGCAGTCATAAGACCATAAGAAAAGCTTGACTGCTGGATCAGACCAAAGGCCCACCCAGCCCCGTACTTACAGTGCCCCTGGGGCTCCCACAAGCAGGTCCTGAGCACACCAGTGCTTTTCCCACCTGTGATTCCACCTCTTCAAGATCCCCTCCTGTTCTAGGTTCTGATCTTTGAGATAAGTGTCAGGAATGGATATTTCAGACTTCACTTTTTCTTCCTCCGCCTGATCTCTCTCCCCTCCTGTATCTCCTTTCCTCTAGCAGTAGCTACCGATGGAGGAACACACAGTGACGCAGACGGAGCACATGGCCACCATCGAGGCCCACGCCGTGGCCCAACAGGTGCAGCAGGTCCACGTGGCCACGTACACGGAGCACAGCATGCTCAGCGCGGACGAAGACTCGCCCTCTTCCCCTGAGGACACTTCCTACGACGACTCGGACATCCTCAACTCCACGGCTACTGATGAGGTGACCGCCCACCTGGCCGCTGCAGGTACATTGCTGGCGCCCTATCCTGTTTCCCCCCACTGTTTTCCTGTTTTCCTGCATAGCATTTCTTCCTCCCTTTCACATCAAGACTTGACTAGGCAGTGCAGAGTTGGCCACAAGTGCCCAAGGAAGAGGCCCAAAATTCTTAGGGGATCCCAAATGTTAGAATTGATACCCATAGTTGTTGTTTTTTATTTTGGTGGAAGAAAATACTCGTATAGTCATAACTCATGTTACGCCCGCTTCATGTTATGTTCTTTCAGGTTGCGACCTGGAAGTACCGGAAAGGGTTACTTCTGGGTTTCGCCGTATGCGCAGACGTGCAAAATGACGTCATGTGCAGAAGCAGCAAATCGCAACCCGTGCATGCGCAGATGCGCCGCTGTGGGTTGCGTTCCTTTCATGTTGAGAACGGGCCTCCGGAATGGATCCCGTTTGCAACCAGAGGTATCACTGTACTGAGCACGGAAGCATTTCCTTGGGCCCCTTTCCAGGTCAAAGGATGTGGCCATGTTAATATTTCAGGATGTACAGTATTTTTCGCTCTATAAGACGCACCAGACCACATGACACACCTAGTTTTTGGAGGAGGAAAACAAGAAAAAAAATATTCTGAACGAAACAGTGGATGTATGATTTTTGTGGTTCATGCTGTGGCCACAGACATGTGATTTGACGGTGAGTTTGGGGTAGCCCAATGCAAAAATCCTGAGGATCCATGTGGATCTGTGCTTTGTAACCACGTTTTTGCGCCATTGCGGCCCCACAAAACAGTGGATGCGTGGTTTTTTTGGTGCAGGCTGTAGCCATGGACATGCTATGTGAGCTGACGGTGAATTTGGGTGACCCAATGCAAAAATCACTGTGCAGTGAAAGCAGCAATCCCTCTTGCTGCTCTGGCTTCTGGGATAGCTGCGCAGCCTGCATTTGCTCCATAAGACGCACACACATTTCCCCTTACTTTTTAGGAGGGAAAAAGTGAGTCTTATAGAGCAAAAAATAAGTAAGTCCAAACTCTGAGAAGACTTCAGTGGGGTTTACTTGCCAGTCACAGAGGCTTCTTCCAGTCCCTTAGGCATGTAACATGCATGAAAAGCAACAAAACAAAACAAAACAAAACAAAACAACCTCTTGATTCACAAAGAGCTCTGCACCCTTAGAAAATACTCTGCCCCGTTCATTTTTTCGATGGTTGGATTATGTTCTGATAACCACCCGCAATCTATTTACGTATCCCTGGGTGCGAGCTTCACTTCTGGCACCTGGTGGAAGAGACTGATGCGAAAGGGAGGGGCTTTTTCTATCCGGGTTGATTTTTCACAAGGGTCAACTGAACAGTTTGGGCAGTTTAAGTGCATCTAGCTATTTTAAGGTACGCAGGTGGCGCTGTGGTCTAAATCACAGAGCCTAGGGCTTGCCGATCAGAAGGTCGGTGGTTTGAATCCCCGCGACGGGGTGAGCTCCCATTGCTCGGTCCCTGCTCCTGCCCACCTAGCAGTTCGAAAGCACGTCAAAGTGCAAGTAGATAAATAGGTACCGCTCCAGCGGGAAGGTAAATGTCCCTAGGCTCTGTGGTTTAACCCATAGCACCACCCATGTCCCTCTGGAAGAAGGTACAGGGTTATAAAGACTAGGACTAGCCGCCTGAGAAACAGTTTCAACCCAAATGCGATTTTGGTTTTAAACACAGTGTAAGGTAGTCTCTATGGGAGTATGTTGTATTTAATTATGGGGTATCAGAGTTTTTAGGGGCTAACCAGGCTGGGATAGCGGGCTTGTGGGGTTTTGAATGTCTGATGTAGATTTTTTCAGTTTCGTTGTTCTGTATGGGACAATGACAATAAAGATTATCATATAGTATGGTGCCTTTTGACTATACAAGGATCTGCATATAGAGGACAAAGTCTCTCTTAGTATATAGAATAAACAGCGTGTTAAACTGAGCAAAAAGATCTCTTCACCCCTCCCTTCAGAAGCTCTGATTAGTGAGGGATTAAGAAGGAGGAACCTGGAATGTAAGAACCATGAACCTGGGTAAGTTGGATGTGGTCAAAAATGAGATGGCAAGAATAAATATTGACATCCTGGGCATCAGTGAACTAAAATGGACAGGAATGGGAGAATTCAGTTCGGATGACTATCATATCTACTACTGTGGGCAAGAAACCCGTAAAAGAAATGGAGTGGCCCTCATAGTCAATAAAAGAGTGGCAAAAGCTGTACTGGGATGCAATCTCAAAAATGATAGAATGATCTCGATACGAATCCAAGGCAGACCTTTTAACATCACAGTAATCCAAGTTTATGCACCAACCACTGGTGCTGAAGAAACTGAAATTGACCAATTCTATGAAGACTTACAAGACCTTATAGAAGTGACACCAAAGAAGGATGTTCTTCTCATTATAGGGGATTGGAATGCTAAAGTAGGGAATCAAGAGATAAAAGGAACAACTGGCAAGTTTGGCCTTGGAGATCAAAACAAAGCAGGGCAAAGGCTAATAGAGTTCTGCCAAGAGAACAAGCTGGTCATCACAAACACGCTTTTCCAACAACACAAGTGACGACTCTACACATGGACATCACCAGATGGACAACATCGAAATCAGATTGATTATATTCTCTGCAGCCAAAGATGGAGAAGCTCTATACAGTCAGCAAAAACAAGACCTGGAGCTGACTGTGGCTCAGATCATCAGCTTCTTATAGCAAAATTCAAGCTTAAACTGAAGAAAGTAGGAAAAACCACTGGGCCGGTAAGATACAATCTAAGTCAAATCCCTTATGAATACACAGTGGAAGTGAGGAACAGGTTTAAAGATTTAGATTTGGTGGACAGAGTGCCTGAAGAACTATGGATGGAGGCTCGCAGCATTATACAGGAGGCAGCAACGAAAACCATCCCAATGAAAAAGAAATGCAAGAAAGCAAAGTGGCTGTCCAACGAGGCCTTACAAATAGCGGGGGAAAGAAGGCAAGCAAAATGCGAGGGAGATAGTGAAAGATACAGGAAATTGAATGCAGATTTCCAAAAAATAGCAAGGAGAGACAAGAAAGCCTTCTTAAACGAGCAATGCAAAGAAATAGAGGAAAACAACAGAATGGGAAGAACCAGAGATCTGTTCAAGAAAATCGGAGATATGAAAGGAACATTTCGTACAAAGATTACCATAATAAAGGACAAAAGTGGTAAGGACCTAACAGAAGCAGAAGACATCAAGAAGAGGTGGCAAGAATACACAGAGGAACTATACCAGAAAGACATGGATGTCTCAGTACACCCCAGGTAGTGTGGTTGCTGAGCTTGAGCCAGACATCCTGGAGAGTGAAGTCAAATGGGCCTTAGAAAGCACTGCAAATAACAAGGCCAGTGGAAGTGATGGTATTCCAGCTGAACTATTTAAAATTTTAAAAGATGATGCTGTTAAGGTACTACACTCAATATGCCAGCAAGTTTGGAAAACTCAGTAGTGGCCAGAGGATTGGAGGAGATCAGTCTACATCCCAATCCCAAAGAAGGGCAGTGCCAAAGAATGCTCCAACTACCGCACAATTGCACTCATTTCACATGCTAGCAAGGTTATGCTTAAAATTGTACAAGGAAGGCTCAAGCAGTATGTGGACCGAGAACTCCCAGAAGTGCAAGCTGGATTTAGAAGAGGCAGAGGAACCAGAGACCAAATTGCAAACATGCACTGGATTATGGAGAAAGCTAGAGAGTTCCAGAAAGACATCTACTTCTGCTTCATTGACTATGCAAAAGCCTTTGACTGTGTCGACCACAGCAAACTATGGCAAGTTCTTAAAGAAATGGGAGTGCCTGATCACCTCATCTGTCTCCTGAGAAATCTCTGTGTGGGACAAGAAGCTACAGTTAGAACTGGATATGGAACAACTGATTGGTTCAAAATTGGGAAAGGAGTACGATAAGGCTGTATATTGTCTCCCTGCTTATTTAACTTATATGCAGAATTCATAATGCGAAAGGCTGGGCTGGATGAATCCGAAGCCGGAATTAAGATCGCCGCAAGAAATATCAACAACCTCAGATATGCAGATGATACAACCTTGATGGCAGAAAGTGAGGAGGAATTAAAGAACCTTTTATTGAGGGTGAAAGAGGAGAGCGCAAAATATGGTCTGAAGCTCAACATCAAAAAAATGAAGATCATGGCCACTGGTAGCATCACCTCCTGGCAAATAGAAGGGGAAGAAATGGAGGCAGTAAGAGATTTTACTTTCTTGGGCTCCATGATCACAGCAGATGGTGACATCAGTCACGAAATTAAAAGATGCCTGCTTCTTGGGAGAAGAGCAATGACAAACCTAGACAGCATCCTAAAAAGTAGAGACATCACCTTGCCAACAAAGGTCCGTATAGTAAAAGCTATGGTTTTCCCAGTAGTGATGTATGGAAGCGAGAGCTGGACCATAAAGAAGGCTGATTGCCGAAGAATGGATGCTTTTGAGTTCTGGTGCTGGAGGAGACTCTTGAGGGTCCCATGGACTGCAAGAAGAGCAAACCTCTCCATTCTGAAGGAAATCAGCCCTGAGTGCTCACTGGAAGGACAGATCCTGAAGCTGAGGCTCCAAGACTTTGGCCACCTCATGAAAAGAGAAGACTCCCTGGAAAAGACCCTGATGTTGGGAAAGATGGAGGGCACAAGGAGAAGGGGACGACAGAGGACCAGATGGTTGGATGGTATTCTTGAAGCTACCATCATGAGTCTGTCCAAACTGCGGGAGGCAGTGGAAGACAGGAGTGCCTGGCGTGCTCTGGTCCAGGGGGTCACGAAGAGTCGGACACGACTAAACAACAACAAGAAGAAGGAGCAATGCAATTTATTTCAAAACAATCGTACATTTGAGCAAAGGACTAATACAGGCACACACTCTTTCGTGATTTGACTGGTCTGTACCTTGCTGTCAGAACTGCCCTGGAATCTTGTCTTTAAAAACCAGTCCCAGGAAGGGGAACCCTTTCCCCCCTCATCTGCATTTTTGGGGACATTTTACACACGTCCTCAAGCCAGATTTTCTAATGTGAAGCTGCAACCAGCAGAGGGCAGTACAGCTATTGCGACTGACAATGTTTCTTTCTCATCTGATATCTCCATGTTAGGGTTCTAACTTTGTTAGGGTTCTAAATCCACCCTGTTTACAATGAATAATAACCTGTAGGGTGATTTTAGGAACACATGCATGGAGAAAGATACTGCGTGAAATAATTGCTATTGAAATTATACCCGGAAGGATAGTTGTATTTGTCTAATGGTGCTGTTTATTTATTTAAAGAATTTATACTCCACTCTTTAGCCAAAAAGGTTCTCAGAGTGGCTTACGGAAATGAGACAGTCCCCACCTTCACATCACAACCTAAAAGAGCATGACGCATGAGGAAAAAGGAGTGGGAGGGAAGAGGGAAAAGCAAGCTCAATCACACATTCATAAAGTTACCGTTCTTAAAGTTGCAGCCAACTTTAAAGACCAACAAATACATCATCGTCATTGTTTAATTAACTTATGAATTGCCTTTCACGTGAGGCAATTTGCAAATATACCATAGTAAAGGTAAAGGGACCCCTGACCATTAGGTCCAGTCGTGACTGACTCTGGGGTTGCGGCGCTCATCTCGCTTTGCTGGCCGAGGGAGCCGGCGTACAGCTTCTGGGTCATGTGGCCAGCATGACTAAGCCGCTTCTGGCGAACCAGAGCCGTGCATGGAAACACCATTTACCTTCCCGCCAGAGTGGCACCTATTTATCTACTTGCACTTTGACGTGCTTTCGAACTGCTAGGTTGGCAGGAGCTGGGACCGAGCAACGGGAGCTCAACCCGTCGCGGGGATTCGAACCGCCGACCTTCTGATCAGCAAGCCCTAGGCTCTGTGGTTTAGCCCCCAGCGCCACCCGCGTCCCAAGCACAGCTAAAAAATAATTTTGAAAACAATACAAAAATCCAACTAAATATAGTTTGAGAAACAATACGAAAGACTCTCCAGTTGTCTTTGGAAAACGCAGATGGGGCACCTGTCATATCTCAGCAGTGATCCTGTTTCCCTGAGGAGGCAAAACTGAAAGCCCTTGCTCTGAGTTATTGTGGAGCAGGCTTCTGATGCCTTTGAAGGAGAAATTGTACGGGGTCTTATATTTTGGTACCTTAGGGCGCATTGCAGCAATCCAACCTTGAAGTTACCAGTGCATAACTATGTCATAAATGTCTGTGGATTTGTTCAGCTTTTCTTAACCTCTCAGATATTCTGTGGCATCTCACCTATAGCTTGCTGTAGCATTTATGGCCTATGGTGTCTTCGGCCTGTGGCCCACCCAATATTCAAAACCCATCTCTCATCCGCAGGCCCTGTGGGAATGGCCGCTGCCGCTGCCGTGGCGACAGGCAAGAAAAGGAAACGCCCTCACGTCTTTGAGTCCAATCCGTCGATCCGCAAGAGGCAGCAGACGCGTTTGTTACGGTAAGAGCGTCTGAACGCAAAAAACTGCCTTACACTGGCCAGGCATTGTCTCCTCCAACTGGGAGTAGTTCTCCAAGGTTTGGGGGCAGAGAGGGGTCTTTGTCAGCCCTGCTACCCAAGAGAAGAGTCTCACGCTCTACCCAAGTGAGCAATGTGGCCCTAGGTAGTCCAAGTCAGTGGTCATCTCTGCCCCCTTGCGGGAGTGAATCCCAGTTTCACTCTATGCTGTCTTGAAGAAGAGATCTCTTTTGTGTATATCAGGTGCTCAGGGTCCAGCGCTTGACAAGACCCAACTCCCCATGACTTAACAGGATGGCAAGCAGCCAGGGACAAATAGCCTCAATATACAGTGGAAGAGTCTCGTGGTTTCCTTCAAAAGCAGTTTGTCCAGGCTTGAGTGAGCCTTGCAGCAGGTAGAGGCATGGGACCGGTTCTCTGAAGTCCTGTTTCCCAGGACCAGGAGAATTTAGGCTTGGACGTATCCTTGCACTTCCCTCCACCTGCCTGCGATTCCAGCAGTGTAGAGCGTTGGGAATCAGTGACCCGTGGTCTGAGCCCCGTAGTGCCCAGTGCTCCACAGCCATCTTTCAGTCTCCAAGTTTCAGGACGAAAGGTGTGGTTTCTCCCTCCCTCCCGCCTCCACCAGCAGGATGAAGTCCTTGAACCTCCAGGGTCACCATCTGAGCCAGACTGATGAATGAGTGACCCATCGTACGTCCTTCTTCGCCATACCTATAGAGCCATGGATGGGGAACCTGTGTCCCTCCAGATTTTGCTGGACTATAATTCCCACCCACTCCCCTGACCATTGGCTGTGCTAGGAGGGTGGGGTCTGATGGCAGCTGGGGTTGTTGAACTTCTGGGTGGGGCACAGTTTCCCTAGAGGCTGTTAATGTTGTATTTTAATCTTGTTTTTAAGTTGTATTTCCATCAATTATGGTTTTTTATATCGGGCGTTAGCCACCCTGAGCCCGGTCTCGGCTGGGGAGCGTGGGGTATAAATATTTTTTTAAAATTTTTTTTTATTATTATTATTAGAGTAGTCATCTCCAGGTAAACCACATGCTGTAGCCAAGGTTTGTTCCGTGACTTGCCACTTGTCTGTAGCAGACAAAGCACAAGCCTGGGCTCGTGTGCAACATGCTAATCCAAACCATGGCATAGCTCATAGCAGCACATCGCCAGCAGGACCAGAGGACGAGTAAAGCAGCCGCCATTTCCTCTCTGGGAGTCTGCACACTCGTGATAAGCCTTGAATTGGCTTTGTGTCATGTGCAAACCGGGCCACTGTGACTTGCTTCATTCACCCCATGTTGGCCTTAGCATTTAATTTCCTGGTATCTATCTGCCCATGACAGCAGTCATGAAATTAAAAGACGCCTGCTTCTTGGGAGAAAAGCAATGGCAAAGCTAGACAGCATCTTAAAAAGCAGAGACATCACCTTGCCAACAAAGGTCCGTATAGTGAAAGCTATGGTTTTCCCAGTAGTGATGTATGGAAGTGAGAGCTGGACCATAAAGAAGGCTGATAGCCAAAGAATGGATGCTTTTTAATTCTGGTGCTGGAGGAGACTCTTGAGAGTCCCATGGACTGCAAGAAGATCAAACCTCTCCATTCTGGTATTTAAAAACATGTTTCAGAATCCCTCCAAAATTGAGAGCCCCCACAGCTCCAAACATCTCACGGCCCATTGCCAGACTCGGAAAGTCCAAACATCCCTGCATTGGGGGGTCTATCCAACCCCCCATTTCCAAACCAGTCCAAACTTTATCTTTCCTAATCTGGCTTTTTCCAAGTTCATTTGTCAAATCCAAAAGCTCATGTTCCTGCTGGGCCGCAGCTCCCTCCATCTCTGGCGCCCAAGATTCCGCAGCATCCTCTTCTCTCATCTGTTCTGTCAGGGCACACTCCTGATTTAATTCCTGGGTGGGCTCCATATAGTTTCCCACTGCCTGTTCAAAAATTCTGACCGCATTAGTCATCAAATCCGTCTTCTCAGTTAACTGTTCCAGTAGAGCATTTGTTTTACAGAGAGCACACAACAGAGCTTCTGAATACATTGTCCTACAAGGTCACAAGCCTATTCCCACGATTGTAATCTGTGACAGCTGCAAGCTCCCAAACCTCTCCATTCTGAAGGAAACCAGCCCTGAGTGCTCACTGGAAGGACAGATCCTGAAGCTGAGGCTCCAAGACTTTGGCCACCTCGTGAGAAGAGAAGACTCCCTGGAAAAGACCCTGATGTTGGGAAAGATGTTGGGCACAAGGAGAAGGGGACGACAGAGGACGAGATGGTGGGACAGTGTTCTCGAAGCTACAAACATGAGTCTGACCAAACTGTGGGAGGCAGTGGAAGACAGGAGGGCCTGGCGTTCTCTGGTCCACGGGGACACGAAGAGTCGGACACGGCTAAACAACTAAACAACAACAACAGCAATCTGCTCATGTGGCATAGGCCCAGTGGCAGAGGAAGCTGCTAGGGTGCCTGGGGTGGCGCGCCCATAGGGCTCACCGTGGGGCCTCCAGAGTCTTCCTGCCTCCTCCCACTCAGCTGCCCTACAGCTTGGGGGGAGGCAGCAGGCGGACCATTTGGGCAGCACAGACCCTGTGCGTGCTCAAGCCACTGTGTCTCCCAGAAGAGACGCGTGGCTTGGGTACACTGCAGGCCCTGCGGTGAGTGCCGCCCGGCATTTTGTCACCCCCCTCGGGGTGACACCTGGGGCGGCCCGTCCCTACCGCACCCCCTTCTTCTGCCCCTGCATAGGTCTCTTCTCAAAAGGCCTGTCTGGAAGTGCATGCAAAATGGGGTTGCAGAGTCAGGCCTTCACAAAAGAGGAGGAATGTTTTGCTCTTAGTGACTCTGGCGTCCTCCTCTCAGCCTCGCCTGTGCATATCCTTGAGATTTCCTTCAGGGATGCTGCAAAGCGTGGCACACAGCCAGAACTTTCCAAATTGGGGCCCGGGAGAAAAGCTCGATCTGTAAGATCTTTCTTCTCCTGCCACTTTCCTGAAAATGGCTTCGGGTAAAACACTGCCGAAGAGTGAGATGAGCACAGCCAGAAAAGCCTTGGCATTCAACTTAGTGGGAATTGTTGACACCTGAAATTTCAAACCGTTGTGAATGCCATAATGGTTGTGCTCCCCTTCGATAGTTGCACGTCAACGCGTCTTCCGGTGCTGGAAGTCGCAAGGTGATGACCCAGTCGCTCTCGGGTCTGTGGGATGATGCAAATGACGGCCTCTCTAGGAATGCGCATTGCAGCGTCTCAAAGAAGAAAGAAGTTAGCTGCTAGTTGAGAAGGCTTCTGTTCCCATGAAAGGCTCTCTTCCTCTAGGGGCACTCTGATGCAACCTTCAGCTGGGCAGATTCATTTCCCTCGGCCTGCTGTTGCAATGTGTTGCCGAGTCTTGCTCAACCCGGCTTGGTGCCGGTGGGATTATTCCAGCAGGTTTGCAGTCCCAGGGCTTCTTTCCTCCCTTGTGGAACATGCATAAAAGTTTTTGGGCAAAATTTGAATGTCCCTCCCCCCCCCCCCCATTTAAAAGAGTTTTCTTCCAATTTGCTCTTAGTTTCATCAGACAATAGGTCGCAGAACTTTGTTCTTTCTGATAGGGCTGGACTGCTCAGGGTGGGGGAAAACCTTGCTCAAAATTATTATTATTATTATTATTATTATTATTATTATTATATTTTCCCCAGCCACTCTGGGCGGCTCCCAGTCGAGTGTTAAAAACAATACAGCAATACAATTCAAATCTAGGGGAGTGGCATAGATTTGCAATTCCAGTGACCGCAGCCTAAAATCTGGCTGTTCCCTGAATGAGAGCTCCCACCCTGCGGATTGACTTGCTGTGATTGGTTAGAGCGTGGTGCTGATAACGCCAAGGTTGCAGGTTCAATCCCTGTAAGGGACAGCTGCGTATTCCTGCATTGCAGGGAGTTGAACTAAATGATCCTCAGGGTCCCTTCCAACTCTTACGATTCTATATGCTGCAGAATGTTTGTGAATGCTGACACTGCTAAGAGGAAAAGTCAGTCACAGGAGGCAGAAAAATCAGTACAACTGAAGCAGTGGAAGTGAAAGGTTCAACTGAAGGAGATGTAGGGAAGTCTTAATGAAATCCATAATTCGCACCCCCAACTCCTGCTTGTTGTTGTTGTTTAGTCGTTTAGTCGTGTCCGACTCTTCGTGACCCCCTGGACCAGAGCACACCAGGCACTCCTGTCTTCCACTGCCTCCCGCAGTTTGGTCAAACTCATGCTGGTAGCTTCGAGAACACTGTCCCACCATCTCGTCCTCTGTCGTCCCCTTCTCCTTGTGCCCTCCATCTTTCCCAGCATCAGGGTCTTTTCCAGGGAGACTTCTCTTCTCATGAGGTGGCCAAAGTCTTGGAGCCTCAGCTTCAGGATTTGTCCTTCCAGTGAGCACTCAGGGCTGATTTCCTTCAGAACGGATAGGTTTGATCTTCTTGCAGTCCATAGGACTCTCAAGAGTCCTCCAGCACCAGAATTCAAAAGCATCAATTCTTCGGCCTTGCCGTGGCAAAGGGGCTTGAATAACTCAGAGAAGCTATGAGCTATGCCGTGCAGGGCCACCCAAGATGGACAGGTCATAGTGGAGAGTTTTGACCAAACGTGATCCACCTGGAGCAGGAACCGGCAAGCCACTCCAGTATCCCTGCCAAGAAAACTCCATGGACAAAGACAACTCCTGCCAATTTTAGCCAAATTATGACTCTCCCTGTGGTCTCCTTAAAAAATAAATATTTTAATTGCTAAGGGGGCTAGCCCTCCTTTAATTTGAGCTCTGGAAGAAAATGGTCACAGAGACTAGGGGCAGGAAGTGTGTGCATGGAGGTGAGGGAATAAGAGGGGCTTGAGGGCCATAGTGGCTGAGGCAGGGGTCAGCAAACTTTTTCAGCAGGGGGCCGGTCTGCTGTTCCTCAGACCTTGTGGGGGGGCCGGACTACATTTTGAAAAAGAACGAATTCCCATGTCCCATAAATAACCCATAAATTTTAAATAAAAACACACATTCTGCTCATGTAAAAACACCAGGCAGGCCCCACAAATAACCCAGAGATGCATTTTAAATAAAAGGACACATTATACTCATGTAAAAACACGCTGATTCCCGGACCATCTGCAGGCCGGATTTAGAAGGCGATTGGGCCGCATCCGGCCCCTGGGCCTTAGTTTGCCTACCCATGGGCTGTCGTCAGCAGGTTAAAGACCTGGAGGGAGATGGGGAAAGACTCATATGGGGCCAAAGAAGAGGAAGGGCTGTTGATGAGAAGATGGGATGCAGAGTGTCTAATTTTTTTTATGCAGCCATGTTTGAAATGCCAGGTCTCCATACTTCCAAAAACTAGATCATTTTATGCTTTATTCTTAATCCGGGTCTCTCTCTCTCTCTCTCTCTCTCTCTCTCTCTGTTGTGTTAAGCAATTTCAAAAAATATTTTTGTTACTTAAGTGAGATGGGAGAGTAGCAAAATGCAAGGATAAGGCCGTCAGTGTCTCGTAGCCCCGATGACTATGCAATGTTTCTGAATCCCAGTTGCTGGAAACCATTTTAGGAATTCCCTCCCCATCCAGGGAAGCAAAAGGAAGAGATTTGGTTTGTACCATGTGGCCACCGTTCAGGTCTGTTGAGAGGACCAGTGCTAATTTGTATATGCGGATTTGCATACAAGTTGCTCTTTTCATGATTTGCACCCTGTTTTGCATGCGTGTGATGGGGCCTGGCCATGGCTTGTGGGTACACGTCGGCTTTCCGTGTTCCTGCAACACACCAAAAATCAGTTTACATAATCGGCTGTCCTTGGATAGCGAGGGCTAACCTCAGACTCACTGTGCACATTTGCAAGGTTGAAGAGACTTAGAAGAGATTCAGCAACCTCTGGCAAGATCTGGAGCTCTTGCACCCACAAATTAATGCTCTGGGTTAAACCACAGAGCCTAGGACTTGCCGATCAGAAGGTCGGCGGTTCGAATCCCCACGACAGGGTGAGCTCCCGTTACTCGGTCCCTGCTCCTGCCAACCTAGCCGTTCGAAAGCACGTCAAAGTGCAAGTAGATAAATAGGTACCACTCCGGCGGGAAGGTAAACGGGGTTTCCATGCACGGCTCTGGTTCGCCAGAAGCAGCTTAGTCATGCTGGCCACATGTACGCCGGCTCTCTCGGCCAGTAAAGCGAGATGAGCGCCGCAACCCCAGAGTCAGCCACGACTGGACCTAATGGTCAGGGGTCCCTTTACCTTTAAGCAAGAATGAGATGGCACTCTCTTGGGTGTGTACTTCATATTCCGCTGCAGAAACATGGCAATTTAGAAAGTGGTGCATTTATTATAGCCCTGGGGATATAATAATAATAAATTATTTGTACCCGCCCATCTGACTGGTTGCCCTAGCCACTCTGGGCGGCTTCCAACATATAAAAACTGTAATAAAACCTTAAACCTTAAGAAGCTTCCCTGTACAGGGCTGCCTTCAGATGTCTTCCAAAAGTTGTATAGTTACTCATCTCCTTGACATCTGATGGGAGGGTGTTCCACAGGGAGGGAGTCGCTACCGAGAATAAGAATAAGAATTTTATTTATACCCCGCCCTTCCCGGTTCAGAAAACCGGGCTCAGGGCGGCTAACAACAAATTTAAAACACTTAATTGATGCAGCAAAAAACAGCATAAAATACAGTATAAAACGTGAATAACAATAAATTTAGAATTCAAAAATCAATTTAGGTGGGAGCTCCATCCAATAAACATTAGATGATCACCAGGGCTAGCTGGCTAAATTAGTCCTATTTGGGTCAGCGAGGAGACCAGGGGAGAATTAGCTGTGGGATCCCAGAGCAGGTAATCTTCATAAAAAGGGAAAGGGGTTGGAAGGAAGGGGAATAAAAGATCAGGCTAAGTTCATATTGAAAGCCAGGCGGAATAGCTCTGTCTTACAGGCCCTGCAGAAGGAGGTTAAATCCTGTAGGGCCCTGGTCTCCTGGGACAGAGCTTTCCACCAGGTTGGAGCCATCACTGAGAAGGCCCTGGCCCTGGTGGAGGATAATCTGACTTCCTTAGGGCCCGGGACCTCTAAACTATGATTATTCATGGACCTTATATCCCTGTAGCTTCACTTTTCTCAGTGAGAGAACCACCAGAAGGCCCTCAGTGCTGGATCTAGCAAAAGGCTCCTGTCTGAAATTCTGGACAAGCTTCTGCCAGTCAATGTAGATGGTACCGAGGTAGATGGACCAATAGTCTGACTCTGCATAAGGCATCTTCCTGTGTCCCACTGCAGGCTATTCCCTCGCAGTTTTTTTAATACGCACTACTGTATGTGGGTGGCGCTGTGGGTTAAACCACAGGGCCTAGGACTTGCCGATCAGAAGGTCGGCGGTTCGAATCCCCGCGACGGGGTGAGCTCCCATTGCTCGGTCCCAGCTCCTGCCAACCTAGCAGTTCGAAAGCACACCAGTGCAAGTAGATAAATAGGTACCACTTCGGCGGGAAGGTAAACTGCGTTTCCGGGCGCTGCTCTGGTTCGCCAGAAGCGGCTTAGTCATGCTGGCCACATGACCCGGAAGCTATACGCCGGCTCCCTCAGCCAATAAAGCGAGATGAGCGCCGCAACCCCAGAGTCGGCCGCGACTGGACCTAATGGTCAGGGGTCCCTTTACTTTTACTGTATCTTTAATTTGTACAGCAGACCTGTGAGATAAGTTGAACTAGTATTATTACTCCCCGTATTTTGGAGGTAGAGACTGAGGCCGTGGGATGGGAGATTGCCTGAGACCACTGTGTGAGTTCATGGCAGAGCCAAGAGTTGAACTCGGCACCTTGTGTCTCTCCTAGACCCTGCGCTGCCCTAACTCTCTTCTCACAGAACACTCAAAGGGAAACACCTGGGCGCACCTGAGAGTTCCTTGTTTGTACAGAGAGGGGTGCTTTTTGCATGATGGTGATCCTAGCACTATAAACAAGCTTTTGCAGCTTTATTTCCTCGTATCTCCCTTTAAGCATTCTTCTGAGCAGGGAGACGTTTTTCCCCAGGGAATTTGAAGCAGGTTTCCGTGCTCGTTTCATGAAGTTTACATAGATAAAAACAAACAGAAACCTCAAAGTGCTTTGCAAAAGGAATTAAACAATAAGATGAATAGTAAAAACAAAACGTTCAAAAAATTTAAACCAGCAATAAACGAAAAACACATCCGCATTCTATAAATCTGGGTAAAAAAAATGTTTTTAGCCGGTGCTGGAAAGAGTACAGTGAAAGTGCCTGCCTGATATCAATATAGATGATATTATTATTATTAAGCATTTTTCATCTACAGAAAAAGGTGATACATAAGAACCCACACCCATCACTGGGTTGTGCTAGTCATATTCAGAGTGGACCAATTCTGAATGGACAGACCTGGCTAACTAAGGTTCATTGACATGGATTGGTCTACCCCGAAGAGAATTTAGCTGGATGCGACCCAGCCTGTTTGCAGGCAACCAAATAGGTCACAAATCCTGCCACTGAAGCAAATCCTTCATTTAATTTGTAAGATAAATTACATTATTCGTTGCTGCCTTTCAAAACCTCGTAAACCCATATTGGTGTTGCTCCCCTCCACTGCAAGAAAGAGCAAGTTCTTCACATCATATTCAGCAGAAGCTGACCAATTTGCCATAAACTTGTCCAGCTTGTTGTCCCCTATCTCTAGTTCTGACAAAATGAGTCAGCTTAGCTGTTAAGGGGAGCTCCCACATTGACTCCTGTCTCCCGCAGTTGGGTCAAACTCATGCTGGTCTCTTCGAGAACACTGTCCCACCATCTCGTCCTCTGTTGTCCCCTTCTCCTTGTGCCCTCCATCTTTCCCAACATCAGGGTCTTTTCCAGGGAGTCTTCTCTTCTCATGAGGTGGCCAAAGTCTTGGAGCCTCAGTTTCAGGATCTGTCCTTCCAGTGAGCACTCAGGGCTGATTTCCTTCAGAATGGAGAGGTTTGATCTTCTTGCAGTCCATGGGACTCTCAAGAGTCTCCTCCAGCACCAGAATTCAAAAGCATCCATTCTTTGGCAATCAGCCTTCTTTATGGTCCAGCTCTCACTTCCATACATCACTACTGGGAAAACCATAGCTTGAACTATACGGACCTTTGTTGGCAAGCTGATGTCTCTGCTTTTAAGATGCAGTCTAGGTTTGTCATTGCTCTTCTCCCAAGAAGCAGGCGTCTTTTAATTTCGTGGCTGCTGTCACCATCTGCAGTGATCATGGAACCCAAGAAAGAAAAATCTCTCACAGCCGCCTCCATTTCTTCCCCTTCTATTTGCCAGCAGGTGATGGGACCAGTGGACATGATCTTCGTTTTTTTGATGTTGCGCTTCAGACCATATTTTGCGCTCTCCTCTTTCAACCTCATTAAAGGCTTATTTAATTCCTCCTCACTTTCTGCCATCAAGGCTGTGTCATCTGCATATCTGAGGTTGTTGATATTTCTTCCGGCAATCTTAATTCCGGCTAGGGATTCATCCAGCCCAGCCTTTCGCATGATGAATTCTGCATACAAGTTAAATAAGCAGGGAGACAATAGACAGCCTTGTTTTTAAGATAGGATTAGACAAATTCACGGAGGAGGAGAGGGCTATCGATGGCTCCTAGCCAGGATGGCTCTTCTCTGCCTCCGCAGCAATGCTTCTAAATACTGGTTGCTGGAAACAACAAGAGGAGAGAGGCTTCTTTTGCTTGGGTTTCCCCACTGGCATCTAGCTGGCCACTGTCAGAACAGGATGCTGGACTAGATGGGACATTGGCCTAGTCCAGCAGTAGGCCCTTCCTATGTTCTTATTTTTTTGTTTTTTATTTTTAAATTAAAGATTTTCTTGATTTACAAAAGTGTGTGCAATGCCTCTCTCTCATATTATCCCCCCCCCCAATGTAACATTTTTACAAATCAGTTTCATTTGTTGAGACATTAGGAAGAAAAGGCGGAAAGAGGTGGAGGGGGGGAAAGATGGGTGGGGGTGGGGTTGGGTGACGATGTTTCTATTTTACTTAATATATGTGGGGTTTGGTGACAGCGTTGCTTCTGCAGGTTCTCTGCTCTTCGCTTGTGTTCCTTTGGTGGTGAGAGAGGTTGGGGTTGGCCTCGGGTGTGGTTATTCATTTGTGGTTGGCTGTGGTGGTCTTTGTTTTCGTGTGTGAGTGGGGTGGGTGGGTGTTTTGGATCAAGTTAGCCATACTGATTTGTATGCTGTTGGTGGATTCTTGTCATTGTCTTGTTGGGCTGTGTATGTGATAAAGGGGAGCCATACAGGGGTAAAGGCGTCTTCTTCTGTTTGTCCCTGTGTCAGTTTCAGTTTATTGGTTAATTTTTCTAGTAGGGCTGTTTCCCATGCTATTTGGTACCATTGGTCCATGCTTACTCCTGACAGGTCTCTCCAGTGTCTGGCTATGATGCTCTTCCTATGTTCTTATGTATAGTAAAATGTCTTTAAAGGGAAATAACTTCTTTTCTTTTTGGCCCACTGAAACAGGAAGCTTCGTGCCACGCTGGACGAATACACCACCCGCGTCGGGCAGCAGGCCATCGTCCTCTGCATCTCGCCCTCCAAACCCAACCCTGTTTTTAAAGTGTTTGGTGCAGCACCGCTAGAGAACGTGGTAAGGCTTTGAAGTTCCATGCATGATTTGCTCCTGGGGTTCTTACTTATTTTAGTTACGTACAGTCATACCTCAGGTTGCGAACACTGCAGGTTGCGCATTTTTGGGTTACTGACAAACCAAACCCGGAAGTACTGGAACGGGTTACTTCTGGGTTTCGGCGCATGCTCAGAAGCGCTAAATTGCGCTTTGCGCATGCTCAGAAGCGCCGAATTGCGTCGTGTGCAGACGCGGCGCTGCAGGTTGCGAACGTGCCTCCCGCACAGATCACTTTCGCAACCCGAGGTTCCACTGTACATCATTCTGAGATGCTTAAAGGTAAAGGGACCCCTGACCATTAGGTCCAGTTGTGGCCAACTCTGGGGTTGCAGCGCTCATCTCGCTTTATTGGCTGAGGGAGCCGGCGTACAGCTTCCGGGTCATGTGGCCATCATGACTAAGCCACTTCTGGAGAACCAGAGCAGCGCCCAGAAACGCCATTTACCTTCCCACCGGAGCGGTACCTATTTATCTACTTGCACTTTGACGTGCTTTCGAACTGCTAGGTGGGCAGGAGCAGGGACCGAGCAACGGGAGCTCACCCCGTCACAGGGATTCAAACCGCCAACCTTCTGATCGGCAAGTCCTAGGCTCTGTGGTTTAACCCACAGTGCCACCCATGTCCACAGATGCTTAATTGCTGCTTAATTACGTTACTTGAAATGTGAGGAGATTAGCGGTAATACTGTTGTTTAGCTTTGAATGAGGAATTAGTATTCCCCCACACACCCCAGTGGTTCTTTTTTTGTTGGATTATGGCGGCTCACAGAACTGTAGAGTTGGAAGGGACCCCGAGGGTCATCTAGTCCAACCCCCTGCTGCATTGCAGGAATCTCAGCTAAAGCATCCATGACAGAGGGCCACCCAACTTCTGTTAGAAACCTCCAAGGAAGGAGAGTCCAAGAGCTCTCCTGGGAACTGCAACTCATGTCAGTTGCCCGCTTGAGACAGCTGAAAATTACCAAGGCCCACAAAAAGAGGAGGAGGAGGAGTTTGGATTTGATATCCCGCCTTTCACTCCCCTTCAGGAGTCTCAAAGCGGCTAACATTCTCCTTTCCCTTCCTCCCCCACAACAAACACTCTGTGAGGTGAGTGGGGCTGAGAGACTTCAGAGAAGTGTGGCTGGCCCAAGGTCACCCAGCAGCTGCATGTGGAGGAGCGGAGACGCGAAGCCGGTTCTCCAGATTACAAGACTACCGCTCTTAACCACTACACCACACTGGCTCTCAAAGGCAGAGCAGGGGCAGAGCCAGTCATAAGATGGAAGCAGATGGAAGCAGACTTTGGTGTAACCAAGAGGCAGTTACCAACGTCAGTTTCTGCTGGTATCTAATCCATCTTTCGAAATTGCTAAATTCTTTGCCGCAGCAAAACAGACATTGGGAAACTGGTATCGCTTAGTCTATTCCCTTCGTCACATTTGGAACTTACCCAGCAGTGAAGTACTTACTAAATGTGGTAATTCAGTTTTGTTGAATTAATTAAACCAAAATAGTTTTAATTGGGTTTTGAATAAAAGCGCAATTAATAGTTTTTGTTTTGAATTTTATTGTGCTATTATGTTCCTAAGTGGGCCGTGCAGACCATTATTCTGAATACAGTGGTACCTCGGGTTAAGAACTTACTTCGTTCTGGGGGTCCGTTCTTAACCTGAAACTGTTCTTAACCTGAGATACCACTTTAGTTAATGGGGCCTCCTGCTGCTGCCACGCCGCCACCACCCAATTTCTGTTCTCATCCTGAAGCAAAGTTCTTAACTCAAGGTACTATTTCTGGGTTAGCGGAGTCTGTAACCTGAAGTGTCTGTAACCCCAGGTACCACTGTAATGCCTTTTTATAGGAGAGGGGAGGGGGTGCCGGGGGGGTGAGTTTATGGAACCAAGGGGGGCGGTGGGCCAAAAAAGTTTGGGAACCACTGGGCTGCGTCATTCCTGACTCAGCTCCTAGAGTCCTATTTAGAGGGGAAGAAGGGCCACCGGCGAGATAAAAGATGAGCAAGTGAACTAAAAAAGTGAACAAATCATGGGCTGATCCCAAAGATGCCTGAGAATGATCTCCTCGCCCAGCTTGTCTGCCAACAGTGCTGGTTTTAACCTTTAAAGCCCTATACGGCCTAGGACCCTCGTACCTATGGGACCCCCTCTCCTGGTATGACCCACGGAGGACCTTGCGGTCTTCAAACAAAAACATCTTGGAGGTCCAGGGCCACAGGGAGGTTAGGCTGGCCTCAACCAGAGCCAGGGCCTTTTCAGTACTGGCCCCGATCTGGTGGAACGCTCTGTCCCAAGAGACTAGGGCCCTGCGGGACTTGACATCTTTCCGCAGGGCCTGCAAGACAGAGCTGTTCCACCAGGCCTTTGGTCAGGGCACAGCCTGACTCCCTCCTTTGGCAGTCCTCCTAGAACTCTAGCCCAATGGTTGCCATTAATTTGATTTGAACTGATTTTAGAATGAAATGATTTTAGAATGTTGTATTATTTTACTGTTGTTAGCTGCTCTGAGCCCGGCTTTGGCTGGGGAGGGCGGGATATAGATAAAAATTCATTATTATTATTATTATTATTATTATTATGGTCTTCACTCTCAAGGGATGTAGACCTCCAGCAAGGGCTGGTTCAAAAGGGATCCGGAATAGACATGCCAGCAGCTGTTTGGGACAGTCCTACCCTGCCTCCAGACTTCTCTGGAAATCCTTTTAGTTCTCCTCTCCTTGGTGTTGCTCCGAGTTTCATCATCATCTCGCTCGAATGCCCTCCTGGTCTGAGGGCTTTGGGGCCAGTGGGTATTTTCATCTGGCAGCTGGGGCGTTGTTTTCACCCCCCCTTCCCGTTACTTAGCACCCTCTTCTCTCCTGTTGCTCTTCACATTGTTTACCTGAGCCCTTCCGATTCCCCACAGGTGCGCAAGTACAAGAGCATGATCCTGGAAGACCTGGAGTCCGCTCTGTTGGAACACGCACCTGCGCCGCAAGAGGTTAACTCTGAGCTGCCACCGCTTACCATCGACGGGATTCCGGTCTCTGTGGACAAGATGACCCAGGTAAGCAAGTAGAAAAGGTGGAAAAAGCCATTCAGGGGAGCTTTGGTTGTCTCCAGCCTATTGATTTTTCCAGCGAAGAATCTCTAGTCTCAAAATCTCTCCCTCTCGCCTTCTCTGTCGCACACACAACTCCTCCGAGACACACTTAATTCTTTCTCTCCAGGGGGATACTGCAGTGACTCTGCTAAACGGTACGAGATAAGGTGTTCCCATTGATGCTGCTTTTTCTACAAAGTGTGGGAGAATAACCAGAGCCAGAGGCAATATTTTTGTCAGCCCACCTGGCTGGGAGCATCTGTTTGCCTTGCTCCTTTGCGCAGCTCATTGGATGCATGGCTTGCTCATAACACCCGTGAAGGATTGCAGAATCAAAGAATTAGAAGGGAACCTAAGGATTATCTAGTTCAACTCTTTCTTTTTTAAAAAATATTTTTGTTGGTTTTGAACATACAAAATTATAAAACATACCACACAATATATCACAAATACATTCTTATTGGACTTCCATCAGCACCTCTGATAATCCTCCGTCTTAATCACTTCTTACGCATTTCCTAACTTAATATTGCCTTTGCATTCTTAACATATCACGTCTCCTTCTCCATTTTTGCAATATTTCTAATATTATTCCTCAGAGAACGTCTTGCAAACCTTCAAACGTCGTCTGGTCGTCACAAATACTTTTCAAATAATCCGTAAATTTACTCCAGTCCTCGGTAAACTTCTGGTCCCGCCGGTTTCGGATCCTTCCTGTTAGTTTGTCAAGTTCCGCATAGTCCATTAATTTCACCCTCCATTCTTCCATCGTTGGTAATTCTTCTTGCTTCCATTTTTGGGCCAATAGTATTCTTGCTGCTGTTACTGCATATAGAAAAAGCTTACATTCCTGGATTATCTAGTTCAACTCTGTGCAGTGCAGAAATCACTAAAGAATTCCAGACATGCCTCTCCCAATCTTTGCTTAAAAATCACCAGTGAAGGAGAATCCACCACCTTCTGAGATTGCCTGTTCCACTGTTGAACAGCTCTTACCATAAGAAAGTTCTTCCTGATGTTTAGTCGTAATCTCCTTTATTGTCATTTGAATCCATTGGTTCGGGTCCTCCCCCTGGGAGAAGCAGGAAAGAAGCTTGCTTCATCTTCAGATATTTGAAGATGGCTGTCACGTCACCTCTTAGTGGTCTTGTCTTCAGGTTAAACATACCTGACTCCCTCAACCTTACGGAGTCCTCGCCGCAGGATCACATTCACCCGGTGCTATACCAGCTGCACTGGCTCCCTGTGGAGTACAGGATCAGGTTTAAGGTGCTGGTTTTAACCTATAAAGCCCTATGCAGCCTAGGACCCTCATAGCTATGGGACCGCCCCTCCTGGTATGTCCCACGGAGGACCTTATGGTCTTCAAACAAAAACATCTTGGAGGTCCCGGGCCACAGGGAGGTTAGGCTGGCCTCAACTAAAGCCAGGGCTTTTTCAGCCGTGGCCCCGATCTGGTGGAACGCTCTGTCACAAGAGACCAGGGCCCTGCAGGACTTGACATCTTTCCGCAGGGCCTGCAAGACAGAGCTGTTCCACCAGGCCTTTGGCCAGGGCACAGCCTGACCCCCTCCTTTGGTAATCCTCACAGATCTCTAGCCCAATGGTTTCCATTAATTTGATTTTGAACTGATTTTAGAATGAATTGATTTTAGAAAGCTGCGTTACTTTTATTGTTGTTAGCCGCTCTGAGCCCGGCTGGGGAGGGCGGGATAGAAATAAATTATTATTATTATTATTATTATTATTAATAACGGTTCCTCAGAAGGCTTGCTTTCTAGAGCACTTTGGCAGAGCTTGTGACTTCTAAGTCAGAAGCACCCAGTTCAGTTTTTAGCATCTTCAGTGATAGGATGTTGCCGAAATTAAAATTGAGGCTTGAGGTGCCATTGTGTCCCTGTTTAGGGAAGTTTTTAATATTTAATGTTGTATTGTTTTTAACACTCGATTGGGAGCCACTCAGAGTGGCTGGGGAAACCCAGCCAGATGGGCAGGGTATAAATAATAATACTAATACTACTACTACTACTACCACTACTACTACTACTACTACTAATAATAATAATAATAGGGCCTTCAGCGCTGCCCTTGGCTGACATGCATTGGCCCGTCCACATAAGGCTTTTCGGAGCAAAAGGGCCTCTTGGGTCGTGGGTTCAAGCCCCACATGGGACAATAGATTCCTGCATTGCACGGTCCCTTCCAGCTCCAGGATTCTATGGTGAGCTGATGATCTCCACTCTTGTTATGGTGGCAATTAGAGAGGTCCTCGTGCCTGAGCAGGCCGAGATGCAGGGCTCCCCGTTGATTGTCTCCCCGGTGGCTCCAGAGCCCTTAACAAGCGCTTGCAAGTGGCTCAAAACTCTCGCTAATTAATCCACCTGGAAACGAGAAGCAGTTATTGCAAGAGCTGCATGCTGCTGTTCTTGGACCCCGTGGCGAAGCTGTTATATTCTTGAGCTGTGGTCCTGATCTGCTCGCTGCATCTAGCTTGTCCTTCTTCCTTGTACCGGGTCCTTGCTCTAGTTTTCCTTTTGGTGGCTTTTGCTTGGGGGGGACGGGACAAAAAGTTTGCAAAACCGAGACGTCACCTTCAAAATGAAGCATGCAAATGAAGCAAGTTCATTCAAACCCAGCGTGTTTGCATACATTTTAGCGATTGGCATAATTTGAATGTGTGCTGTTTTGGGGTTTTTTTGCCCACAGCGTTAATAAAGCCTGGTGGTGTCTACATGGATGGATTACTAGGGCTTATGGCGCATCCTTGTGTAAGCGTGCCTCCTTTCAGATGGATGCTGCCTCATCCGTCCTGTTCACTTTCGGTTGCTTAGATATGCTGCGGTCTCATCCCTGGGATATTTATGCATAATTGCTAGATGGTGCTGTAGCGCCATTTGCATAGCTGCTGCGCCCATTCATAGAACATGCAGAGTGACCTCACTGAAAACAGCCCATCCTTTATCTAATAACTATACAGTGGTACCTCGGGTTACATACGCTTCGGGTTACATACGCTTCAGGTTACAGACTCCGCTAACCCAGAAATATTACCTCGGGTTAAGAACTTTGCTTCAGGATGAGAACAGAAATCGTGCTCCAGAGGCACAGCAGCAGCAGGAGGCCCCATTAGCTAAAGTGGTGCTTCAGGTTAAGAACAGTTTCAGGTTAAAAACGGACCTCCAGAATGAATTAAGTTCTTAACCCGAGGTACCACTGTAGTAGGAAAGTGTGGGAGAGCCATCCCAATGCCATACTGCAGCTGCTTCACGCAATTGCCAAGGAGAGGTCCCTGCTCTCTGCATGGTGCTTGCAGTCTAAAATAGACAGTGGGGAAATAATAGAAGCCAAAGTGAATAATAATAATAATTATTATTATTTATACCCCACCCATCTGGCTGGGTTTCCCCAGCCACTCTGGGCAGCTCCCGATTGAATATTAAAACACAATACAGTGGTACCTCGGGTTAATAACTTAATTCATTCTGGAGGTCCGTTCTTAACCTGAAACTGTTCTTAACCTAAGGTACCACTTTAGCTAATGGGGCCTCCCGCTGCCTCCACCACACGATTTCTGTTCTCATCCTGAAGCAAAGTTCTTAACCTGAGGTACTGGGTTAGCAGAGTCTGTAACCTGAAGCGTCTGTAACCCGAGGTACCACTGCACCTCGTTGGCCCACGTTTTTAAACATTAAAAACTTCCCTAAACAGGGCTGCCTTCAGATGTCTTTTAAAAGTAGGATAGTTGCTTATTTCCTTGACATCTGATGGGAGGGCGTTCCATGGGGCAGGCACCACTACCGAGAAGGCTCTGTGCCTGAATACTGGATGAGGCCAAATGCCTGTCTAGTCCAGCATCCTGTTCTCACAGTGGTCATATTATACGTTTCCGAGCACAATTCAAAGTGTTGGTGCTGACCATGAAAGCCCTAAACGGTACAGTGGTACCTCGGGTTACAGACACTTCAGGTTACAGATGCTTCATCTTTCATATCTCACCAGCTAAACATTGCGATATACCGCTATATCAGTCAGTCAGTCAGTTTTATTGCACATAGCCAAAGGCTGCTGCAATGTACACAAAATCATTCAAGAATTAAAAGAAAATATGCTGGATTAATACAAAAAACCTAAAACATTTATATTATCAAGACATTGCCTACCCTAAGCAGAGCTATAAAAGTACCTTAATATACAGGTTAAGACGTTAAACAATAAAATTTATAGGGTAATATAATCACATGGCCACTAATATATTAAAAAATAATGTTACTTAATACAATGTGCAATTATATTCAGAGTTTGGTGATAGAATATCGCTTGATGTAGATAGGGTCAAATAAATTCATCTCCTTTACAGTTGGTGGCTACCTTGGCTATATAATTTGCTCTAATTTTCCTAGCGGCAGTTGCAAAGAGTGCTACATGCCAAGTCACATACTTATCTGTGTCTGCGAGGAGATATAAAATCATGTCAGAGGGGTTCTGGCCAGGGGACCTTGGCTATATCACGATGTCTGGAATAAGGATGGAGCTTGAGGGACGTGGGTGGTGCTGTGGGTTAAACCACAGAGCCTAGGACTTGCCAATCAGAAGGTCGGCGGTTCGAATCCCCCTGACGGGGTGAGCTCCCGTCACTCGGTCCCTGTTCCTGCCAACCTAGCAGTTCGGAAGCACGTCAAAGTGCAAGTAGATAAATAGGTACCGCTCCGGCAGGAAGGTAAACGCCGTTTCCGTGCGCTGCTCTGGTTCACCAGAAGCGGCTTAGTCATGCTGGCCACATGACCCGGAAGCTGTACGCCGGCTCCCTCAGCCAGTAAAGTGAGATGAGCGCCACAACCCCAGAGTCGGCCACAACTGGACCTAATGGTCATGGGTCCCTTTACCTTTATGTAGAGACATTGGCTGGCTTCACAGTGTTCCTTGCTTGTGTTTATTGCCGGCGCCTGCACTTGAGATTTGCTGCCCCCCTTGTAGGAGGCAGGGGAGAGCTGAGCCAGCAGAGTTAACAGGGGCTGCAGGTATCAAGAGAAGCACTGGCTGCCTTCATGGTTTTTCCCACATTTTGATTTTTGCATAGTGTGTGTGTGTACACACACACACACACACACACACACTGTGATTCATGATATATTGCCAGTTCAAAAATTATGAAACCAATATCACAATATGGACTTCAAACCAGTTTTGGATGATATATCAACATATCGCCCATTCCTAGTCAGTATCGAAAATTGCAATCTTTCAGGATCATTGCAATCATACCTAGGAAAAAATGTGCTTCCTTTCTAGGACCAGGCTATGAAATCCCAAATCTCTTGGAAGGCCTCTGCTGTGGCTCTGAATTACTCTGGCTCTGAATTTTCAAAGCAAAAGCTGGTGATACAGGTCAAATATTCAGGGCGTGTGATGATAATTGGTCACCGTGCCCCTGACACAAGTTGAAACTGGGGGAAACAGCCCCTCCTGAACATGATCTGTTCTCATGTGGACTGAACCCAGCCATTCCTTTAGAACTTTGTGTATGCAATGTCCCTAGCTGCTCCTGGAACGTTGATTTCTGAATGCTGGTTGGTTGATTGATATTTTTCTTTAATGCCACAGGCACAGCTGCGGGCCTTCATCCCCGAAATGCTGAAATACTCGACGGGCCGTGGCAAGCCGGGCTGGGGGAAGGAGAGCTGCAAGCCCGTCTGGTGGCCCGAAGACATCCCGTGGGCCAACGTCCGCAGCGACGTCCGGACGGAGGAGCAGAAGCAGAGGGTGTGTGTTGATGAAAGTCCTCTTGCTTCAGCAAAGGGCTCTGACTTGGTATGACAAGTGGAAAGGCTTAGCTTATAGATCTCTGTTGGGGAAGTCTGTGAAGTGCTTTGGGACCAAAATAGATCAGGTAAGAACACAAGAGGGTGGCCATTGCAGCTCCAGCCAAAGGTGCTCAGCTCTCTGTTCCCAGTGGGTTCAGCCAGGCACCCCAGGAATTTGCAAGCGTGGCATTTATGGGAAGAGGCCCTCCCTGGATCTCAGTCCCCAGCATCTGGTTCCCAAGAGGCATATGATCTATGGACGCAATTGGTTACATTCCTGGCCATCTTGGCTTGCAGCCGTTAATGACCTGTCCTCCCGGAATCTACCTCTCTGTTATTTTAGCAGCTGTTATGCCAGCAGTCATCAGAGCACATTGCTGTGCATTGAATCCCGCACGTTTCTCCCTTAGATTCCAGCAAAAGCCTTGGTATTCCCCACTTACTTAAGCCAGCCTTTCAGATCTGGAAGCTGAATCCCAGCCTGCTTCTGGAGATGCAAAACTGACATAAATAAAAGCAGCCACGGATTACGCTCCGTGGGAAAGGGCAGGACGTTTCTCTGTTTTACAGAAGTCTTATCGTGCCTTTATAATTCAGCAAACAGTTCAAGACAGCTCACAATCCAATCGGAAGCAACAGTAGTAATCTTAAGACAATTTCAGAATGCACTTAAAAGCAAACCGCAACGCAGCGGATAAAATTAACATGTGATTAATAAGAATAAGAATAAGAAAGCAAATACCGTATTTTTCGCTCTATAGGACGCACCGGACCATAGGAGGGGGAGAACAGGAAAAAAATTTTTTTTTTCTTGTTCTCCCCCTCTAAAACAAGGTGCGTTCTGTGCTGAGCTGCGCAGCGCTCCGTCTCCCTGTTCTGGCTTTGGGCTTAGCCGCACAGCCTGCATTTGCTCTATAGGACGCACACACATTTCCCCTTAATTTTTGGAGGGGAAAAAGTGCATCCTATAGAGCGAAAAATACGGTAAATTCTTTGTCCAGCACCTACGAACTTATCAAACCATGTGAATTGCCCTTGGGAGAGCATTCCAACTATTGGGTGCCACAACCGGAAAAGGCCCTGTCCCTACTTGATTTCTTAGCAAGGTCATGTGGGAGCAGAAAGCCCTTGGGCTACCCGAGCCCCAAGCTCTCCCTTCTGGGCAACCTTCCATCGTGGGCCGCAAGCCAGTGGTGGGTGGGGCCAGCTGTGGGCGGAGCAATTGATGTAAATTGTTACCTTTGTAAAGGAGGCCAGTTTCAACACATGCACTCGCACACCCCTTTCTGTCCTCCATCCAGGGAAGCAAGGAGCATTGCGAGAGCTCGAGGACACATCACAGCCAGGTAAAAAAACTAAAACTTGAGGGAGGGCTGGCGAGGGATTTAGCTGGGGGGAAGGGGCATGGCCTGGGGAGAGACACGAGAACCACAGAGTGAGGCGTATTTGGCTCCCAGGCCAGGCGTTCCCCACCCCAGACCGGCACATCCAGAGCAAAGCAGGGTGGTCCAGTTGCCTCCAGTCTGTGGCTGTTCGGGAAGATTCTGCACAAGAAGGAAAAAGGCCTTCTGAGCGCACCTGTCTGTCCACTCTAATCCCAGAATGGAGAAAGTCATTTGTTTACCCTGGTTTAGTTAATGCAGTTAAAATCTAGCAATTTTCACAATTGCTAATGTGAGCTAGAGCCACCCTTTTCACACCGTAGGTTAGCTAGTCGACTTGCAGTGATTTGGGGACCCATCACTGGTGGTTTTTCGTGAGACAATGCCTTTGAGTACCATTTGCTGGGGGTCGCAGGTGGGGCAGTTGCTGCTGAGCTGAGGTTCTGCTTGCAGGCTTTCTGTGGGGGCACCTGGTTGGCTGCAGTGCGAACAGGGCGCTGGGCTAGATAGGCCTTTGGCCTGATCCTGCCAGCCCATCTTGTGTTCTTAATCTTGCCCCCATTGGAAGTACATTTCTGCTTTGAAAGCTCTTTATGGAGTAAAGTTTACCAGAGATCCCATCACTCAATTTAAGGAATATTTCAGAGCTTGGTTACTTTATTGTTTGTTCTGCTTCTGTTTTGTTTTTGTTTTTTTAAATGGGATATGGTATCCCTGAATATGCCTCTTCTCTCCCTCTTTAATCCGGCAGGTGTCTTGGACTCAGGCGCTGAGGACCATTGTCAAGAACTGCTACAAACAGCACGGCCGCGAGGACCTGCTCTACGCTTTTGAGGATCAACAAACACAGCCTGCGACAGCAACACACAGTATAGCACACCTGGTCCCGTCCCAAACCGTGGTCCAGACCTTCAGCAATCCCGACGGCACAGTCTCTCTCATCCAGGTGAGAAGTTGCAGCAGCACAAAGAGGGTCCCCGGCTTCAGATTGGTCAAAAGCTTTGCAATCTGGCCCCAAACACCTGCCCCAGATGTGCAGGAGCCAATTCTTGCTGTTATTTTATTGCATTGCATTGATGATATCCCACTTTATCTCCAAGGATCTCAAGGGGGTGTACATGGTTTTCTCTCTCCTCATTCAATCCCCACAACAACCCTGTGAGGTAGGTTAGGCTGAGAGGCAGTGGCTGGTCCCCAGGATCACCCAGTGAGCTTCACGGCTGAGTGGGAGTTTGGACCTTAGTGTCTTAGGTCCTGGTCTCTGTCCCAGCTCCTGCAGTTTGAAAGCACACCAGTGCAAGTAGTGCTGCTGCTTCTGTTGTTGTTTAGTCATTTAGTCGTGTCCGACTCTTCGTGACCCCCTAGACCAGAGCACGCCAGGCCCTCCTGTCTTCCACTGCCTCCCGCAGTTTGGTCAGACTCATGTTGGTAGCTTTGAGAACACTGTACCACCATCTCGTCCTCCATTGCCCCTTCTCCTTGTGCCCTCCATCTTTTCCAACATCAGGGTCTTTTCCAGGGAGTCTTCTCTTCTTATGAGGTGGCCAAAGTATTGGAGTCTCAGCTTCAGGATCTGTCCTTCCAGTGAGCACTCAGGGCTGATTTTCCTTCAGAATGGAGAGGTTTGATCTTCTTGTAGTCCATGGGACTCTCTAGAGTCTCCTCCAGCACCAGAATTCAAAAGCATCTATTCTTTGGCGATCAGCCTTCTTTATGGTCCAGCTCTCACTTCCATACATCACTACTGGGAAAACCATAGCTTTAACTATATGGACCTTTGTCGGCAAGGTGATGTCTCTGTTTTTTAAATGGCATTTCCATGTTCTCTGGTTTCCACCATGGTGTCCCGTTGTGCCAGAATAATAATAATAATAATAATAATAATAATAATAATAATAAATTTATTGTTTATACCCACCGATCTGGCTGGGATTCCCCAGCCACTCTGGGCGGCTTCCAAAAAATATTAAAATACTGTAATGCATCAAACATTAAAAGCTTCCCTAAACAGGGCTGCCTTCAGATGTCTTAACTCTGGACTTGACTGTCCAGAGGTCCTTTACCTTTTAACTTTTACCTTAGGTCCTAGTCCAATTCTAACCACTACACCACACTAGCTCTCTTGCAGTTCCTTAGTACTGTGCAAACAATATTCTGTGTCATGTCACCCCAGGGTCGAACTCTGGCAAATACCTCTAGGCCTGAGGAGTTCTGGCCCTGAGTAATAGGAATCATTCTCCAAAATACTTGGTTGGTGTGCAAAGACACAGAAATTATTCATTTTTGTAGGAACACAGGGAATCTTCCTCAGGAGCTAGTGCACTTGTATGTTTGTGATATGTCATAGTTTAGCTTGGTGTGATGTGCGAATGCGGCCAACCTGAATCCAGAAAATTGTCACCCCTTTGGTTTAATTGGTTTCTTGATTTACTCACAACCGGCCTGTCTCATTGGTTTCAGTGTGACGCAAGCTTTCTCTGGGCTCTAGGCCTTGTAGCTATTGTGTAGAGATCATTGGCCTTTGTGCCGTTATTGTTGTTGTTTAGTCGTTTAGTCGTGTCCGCCTCTTCGTGACCCCATGGACCAGAGCACACCAGGTACTCCTGTCTTCCACTGCCTCCCGCAGTTTGGTCAAACTCATGCTGGTAGCTTCGAGAACACTGTCCCACCATCTCGTCCTCTGTCATCTCCTTCTCCTTGTGCCCTCCATCTTTCCCAACATCAGGGTCTTTTCCAGGAAGTCTTCTCTTCTCCTGAGGTGGCCAAAGTCTTGGAGCCTCAGCTTCAGGATCTGTCCTTCCAGGGAGCACTCAGGGCTGATTTCCTTAAGAATGGAAAAGAATGTGCCAATATATTTTATTTTCCACCATATAAATAAATTTTGAAACCCGCAGCTCGGCTGCAGGGCTTGGGACCAAGCTAGAAATCTGAATGAGCAGGGAGATACGTATTGTGTTTCTTTAACTTGGACCGTGTGATGCATATGATCATAGCCCAAGAAGCCAACTGACTGGAAAGTCAACCCTTGGTGGCATCTCACTGACTACCGTTGTGTGTTGCAGGTTGGCACAGGAGCTACGGTAGCGACCTTGGCAGATGCCTCCGAATTGCCCACCACCGTCACTGTCGCACAAGTCAACTACTCTGCAGTAACCGACGGAGAGGTGAGTGGCGATGTTGGCTGGCAAGGCCTGTGCCCAGAGATCTCATGGTAGATCACTTCCTGAAAATTCACATGGAAAGTGTTTCCACAAGCTCTCTGAACCCGCACGGCAGCTAAGCTGCTTTGCCTCCCTTAGGGATAGGGAGCCAGATCAGGTGCTGGGCAGAATCCTGACCTCCCATGCACCAGCTTCGACAGGTGGGTGGAGCTGCCCAACTGTCAGTCCCTTGGCGTCATTAGGATATTGATGAGTGATGACTTCAGAGGGGCTGGCCCCTCTCAGCTGATGAAGGCAAGGGCTGATTATCAGTTGGTGGTCCAGCTCTTGCAAAGGCACAGGGCTTCGTAGGTGCTGCTAATTGGCGGCCCCTGCAGCTTTTGATGCCAGGTGTTGGGCAGCTGGGCCGACCTAGCGAAAGCTACCTGTGAGCCAAATGTGGAGGCCTGCAGGACCGAATGAGCGGGGCTAATTGAATCTGACTTTCTGACGTTTAAGGTCATTTTGCTATGTGCAAAATGGCTGCCATTAGAGCTTGCTGCTTCTTTTTTTAAAGTAGAAAAGAGATTGGTACATTTTGTAAAACCATTATTTTTACATTATGTCCACCTGGATGCGGACCCACAAATGTGCTTTTTGCTGGCAAGGTGGTTAGGGGAGGGTGGGGTTATTGTTATTGTTTTGATTATGTATTTTTTGTTCTCTGTCTTGTACTTTTATGTTTTGAACTGCCCTGATGAGATCTATGGATGAATGGTGGTGGAATAATAATAATATGAGAACGAATGATTCAGTAGAGCCCTTTTTCCTCTGGGTTCCGATTTTTGCACATAGTGACCGGTATAGGTCAAAAATTTGCTTTACGTATTTCATGAAGAACTAGCCAGGTGGATCTATCAGCAATATCCATTTCCACAACAGTTAGCAAAAGTGTTTTTTTTAAAAATACCATCTAAGGTCTCGTTTTCTGTTAACTCTCTTGGTGTTAATCAGTTGACTTCGTTGCGGTGGTTATTGATAATTTTCTCAGTGCCATCCTTGTACAGGGTATACTCTACTCTGATGGCAAGGAATAATAGATATGCAGAAATATGGCTCCCTGCCTCCTAGCACATTTGCACAGAGGATATACTTAAGCTTCATTTCAACTGGAGCAGAATCAGGAGGGTTAAACAGGCTTCACAAAGGTAGCACCACATAGGTCCAGGGTCAGCAAACATTTTCAGCAGGGGGCCGGTCCACTGTCCCTCAGACCTTGTGGGGGACCAGACTATATTTTGAAAAAAATAATAATGAATGAATTCCTATGCCCCACAAATAACCCAGAGATGCATTTTAAATAAAAGGAAATATTCTAATGTAAAAACGTGCTGATTCCCGGACTGTCTGCAAGCCGGATTTAGAAGGCGATTGGGCCGGATCCGGCCCCCGGGCCTTAGTTTGCCTACTTTGCCTAGTTTGCCTAGTTTGACATAGGTGTTCTGGCAGAGGCAAAGCGAGTGACTTTGGGACTGGAAAGCCCAGGCTGGGGAAGCGAATACTAACTTTCTTGAACACTTGGGTGTGGGGAGCTGGGAAGAACAGACTCTTCTTGGAGAGAGGGAGAGGCCTGTTCTCTTTCTATTGGACCCAAGTCCAAGTCTCCAGGCCTTTGTGTCAGGACGGAGTGGCGAAGTCCCGCGCTTCTCTGGAAAGGGATAGGATTCTCAGGGCAATAGGTGGCAGCACAAAAACAGCTCTTGTTCCCAGAGACGCCGGCATTTGCATTTGAAAGGCCGGCTAGAAACTGGTTGTTTTGTTTTTTGAGATTTCTGTCCCTGAAAATTCCATCCCATGCATCAAAGGGGGTTTCAGGAGACAAGCCCCTCATTGTCTCTGTGAAAGCGGGCACCTTCCACCTTGCCTAATGTACTTGCTTCCTGTTCCGAGCATGTGAAGATACGAAGTCGCTGCCTCCTGCAACCGAGTCTGGCCACAGCCTGTTCCCTGCCACGTCGGCTAAATAGAATAACCAACCGACCGCTACCTGCCAGTACCATTTCCCCAGTACCATTTATTCTTTGTGAAATACATTTACAATGTAAATGCAATACAAATACAGTGGCACCTTGGTTCTCAAACTTAATCTGTTCCGGGAGTCCGCTTGACTCCCGAAACCGTTCGAAAACCAAGGCGCAGCTTCCGATTGGCTGCAGGAGCTTCCTACATGCAAGCGGAAACTGCGTTGGACGTCTGGCTTCCGAAAAACGTTTGCAAACTGGAACACTTACTTCCGGGTTTGCGGCATTTGGGAACCAATTCATTCAACAACTAAGCCATTCAAAAACCAAGATACCATTGTACTAACATAGTCCAGCAACAGCTGCAGACTCAAGTTTGAGAAGCGCCGTCTTGGACTCTCCTTCCTGAGGCTCTAGTCGTTCCCGTTGCTCAAGATGCCATTGCCTTGACTTGGGACTTTTGACTTTGACTTGACTTGGGATGGTGAAATTCTTATTTGAAAAACCAAATAAATAAATTGAGAGAGAGAGAAATGCACCCAAGCGGGAACGGTCCCTGGATACTTTCTCAGACGGTGCGAGTTCCATCATGCCTCTCTCGTCTTCTCCGTCCCACCAGGTGGAGCAGAACTGGGCAACGCTACAGGGAGGAGAGATGACGATCCAAACCACCCAAGCCTCAGAAGCCACGCAGGCAGTGGCATCCCTGGCAGAAGCGGCGGTGGCGGCATCGCAAGAGATGCAGCAAGGAGCAACAGTCACCATGGCCCTCAACAGGTATTGAGATACTGTTGCCATGTGGGGAGGGGGGGTCTTCATTGATGTTTGGGTGCTGGGCTGGTTTGGTGAAGGCCAATGGCTCCTTGCTACCTAACCTCTCTCCAAAAGTAACTTGCAAAAGAAGCAAAGTTATAGCTGGAGTTGGTCAAAACGCTCATGAAATCTCACCTTGGGTAGTTTTGCAAAAAGTCAAGTCTCTTTTAGCCAACAGTAGAGCTGTTTTGGGGGGGGACGCGGGTGGCACTGTGGGTTAAACCACAGAGCCTAGGACTTGCTAATTAGAAGGTTGGTGATTTGAATCGCTGCGGCGGGGTGAGCTCCCGTTGCTCGGTCCCTGCTCCAGCCAACCTAGCAGTTCGAAAGCACGTCAAAGTGCAAGTTGATAAATGGGTACCGCTCCGGCAGGAAGGTAAACGGCATTTCCGTGCGCTGCTCTGGTTCTCCAGAAGCGGCTTAGTCATGCTGGCCATATGACCCGGAAGCTGTCTGCGGACAAACACCGGCTCCCTTGGCCTATAGAGCGAGATGAGCACCACAACCCCAGAGTCGGTCACGACTGGACCTAATGGTCAAGGGTCCCTTTAACTTTACCTAGAGCTGTTTTGGGATTCATGAGACTCGGCGAGTCTGCCTTTAAGAGGCCCTCTTCTAAGAGAGCTCTGCAGTTCTGAAGCATGGCGCAGCGTTTGTTTTCTTGCTTCCCGTCGGGAAGGCAGTGCTGCTGGTGACAGAAAACACCCCAGCCGAAAACAGCGATAAAGTACCAGCAAAGCATTGCACCGTTTATATTTCCCTCCTCTTTGTTAATAGGCCCCCAAGGTGATGGGGCAACAGGCTCTCGCGCTTGCTTGAGAAAACTTCAGCATGGTGAGATAGCCAAATACCTGCGTCTTCGCTTTTAAAGGGATTTGGTTACGAATCTCCCATTTATTTGCTTATTTATTAAGTGCTCATTTGACTATGTTAGCACATCACCAGAGGCAAAATGCCCTTGACTATAGCCAGGTGGCTGCTAGCCACGACAGGAGCGTAGAGTGGGGGGCTGAGGGGGTCATTGCCCTGGGCTCAGTCTTTTGGGGGGCACATCAAGGCCCCCCGCCCTGCCGTGAGCTGCTGCATCCTTCTCACCGAGGAGGGCGCAATAGGTGTGCTCCCTGACCTCTGAGCATCCTGAACAGCAGACACACACAGTCTAAATGTTGCCACCTGTGGTGATGGGCCGTGGGGTGCCCTGCCTCTCCACCGACTCCGCAATAACATTCAATATCAGGCCTCTGTTGTTTCGAAGCTGATTCCCTTGCCCCCCCCCCCCTCCACACCAGCTCAGCTTCTAAGCCTCAGATGCGCAGGAGGACTGGCTTGGGGTATCGGCAGGAAGGTCTGCTTTGCTGTGGGGAAATGGTTCTGATGGCAGCGGATTTAATAGCGTCCCCCGAGGGTTTGTTAACAAGCCTCAAAGCGCCTGAGCTGACTCGAGCAGTCCTTGTGCGGGAGTGAGGTGATGGCTGGGCCGGGAGCGAACAGGATTGCAGCCGACAGATACGGAAACCAGAGAGAAAAGGCATTGTTCTTTCCTGTTGCAGCCCAGTAGTCATACAGAGGTACCTCGGGTTACATACGCTTGAGGTTACAGACTCTGCTAACCCAGAAATAGTGCTTCAGGTTAAGAACTTTGCTTCAGGATGAGAACAGAAATCGTGCTCCGGCGGCGCAGCAGCAGCGGGAGGCCCCATTAGCTAAAGTGGTGCTTCAGGTTAAGAACAGTTTCAGGTTAAGAACAGACCTCCGGAACGAATTAAGTACTTGACCCGAGGTACCACTGTAGTAGTATTATATACTACACCCAGAGTGGCTGGGGCAACCCGGTAAGATGGGCAGGGTACAAATAATAAAGTTTTTATTGCAGTCATACCTTGGTTTTCGAACAGCTTAGTTCTCGAACGTTTTGGCTCCCAAACCCCACAAACCCGGAAGTGGCTGTTCCAGTTTGCCTACTATTTTTGGAAGCTGAACGTCCGACGGGTCTTCCGATTGGCTGAAGGAGCTTCCTGCAGCCAATCAGAAGCTGCACTTTGGTTTCCGAACGTTTTGGAAGTTGAACGGACTTCAGAATGGGTTCCGTTCGACTTCCAAGGTATGACTGTGTTATATTTATTTATACCCTGCCTTCTTCCCCTGACAGGGACTCAAGGCGGCTTGCAAATAAAATATGAATTGCTATAAACATGAGGGCAAAACATTAAAAAACAAGAAAATATTAATAGAATTGTATATGTCTGCATATAATTCTGTTAACGTTTGCTTGTTTTTTGTTGATTCCACTCCCAAAGCCTGTTGGAAGGAGAAGGGCTTCCCCTGCTGGCAGAAGGACAACAGGGAGGGAGCCAATCTGGCTTCCAAAGTTCCAAAGTCTGGGAGCAGCCACCGAAAAGCCCCGCTTCTGTGTCCCCACCACGTTCGCCTGTGAAGGCGGTGGGACCAAGGGAAGCCCGCTCTTCAAAGAAGAGTACACATAATACCCGTTCCCCATTTGCAAGAGATCAATCTCTCTGTGTAGCAGCGCTTGCACTCCTAGCCTATTGATATCAGGCAGGCTCTTTCATTGTGCTCTTTTCTGTGTCCACTAAAAACATTTTAGTTTAGACAACCCTACCCAGACATACGGGTGGTATGTCCCAGGGACGCGGGTGGTGCTGTGGGTTAAACCACAGAGCCTAGGGCTTGCTGACCAGAAGGTCAGCGGTTCGCATCCCCGCCACGGGGTGAGCTCCCGTTGCTCGATCCCTGCTCCTGCCAACCTAGCAGTTTGAAAGCACATCAAAGTCAAGTAGATAAATAGGCACCACTCCAGCGGGAAGGTAAACGGTGTTTCTGTGCGCTGCTCTGGTTCGCCAGAAGCGGCTTAGTCCTGCTGGCCACATGACCCGGAAGCTGTACGCCGGCTCCCTCGGCCAATAAGGCCGAGGTGAGCGCCGCAACCCCAGAGTCGGTCACGACTGGACCTAATGGTCAGGGGTCTCTTTACCCAGACATACAGCCCTCCCTCGGCTTACGTTACCCTTGGGTAACATAAACTTCGGGTTGCGAAAGCGGCAAACCCAGAAGTATACTTTGGGTTTTGCTGCATGCGCAGAAGTGCTGCACATGCGCAGAATGCGGTGCACATTTGCAGAAGCGGCACCTCTGATTGCAGAAACTGCGGGATCCGTCCGGAGCTCTGGAACGGATCCCGTCCGCAACCGGAGGTACCACTGTATTGCGTATGTATGTATGTATGTATGTTGTGATCTGGTTACTGTTGATTTTATGTTTTGAATGATTTGCGTAGTTGCTTTTACAGATTTTCTTTTTTTACTGATGGTTGTATTGTTTTATTCTCTTCGTAAACTGCTTTGAGGGATATTTTTTTTTACAACCTAGCAGTGTATAGATTTTATGAAATAAACAAAGAAGATGCTTAGGTGGGGATGTTCTGGTGGCTCCTGACTTCCGCAGGGCTTTTGTGAACATAGACATGTTCCCCATCATCTCCCCAACTTTGCCACGCCTGTTACCTTGAATCAGGAACACTTGCTTTTTTCAAATTCCCAGGGCTAGAGGTTGAGCTTGGGACTCCTGTCCATGCCCAGCACATGTTTCATTGCTCTCTTATCTCTAGTTTTGGTAACCTCTCCTCTCCTTGCCTTGCAGCGAAGCAGCCGCCCACGCCGTCGCCACGCTTGCAGAAGCTACCCTCCAAGGCGGGGGCCAGATTGTCTTGTCCGGTGAAACTGCAGCAGCCGTCGGCGCTCTCACCGGGGTTCAAGATGCGAACGGTAGGCCGATGCAGATATGCAATTGCGTTTCTTCCTGATCCCTTTGTGAACTCCCTCGGACTGATGGATGGGGTTGCAAAGTCTCACTGGGCCCAAAGAAGGCGGTTCCCAGCCAGAGCAGTAAAGTCTACCCGCTTTGTTGTTTACTCGCCTCAAAAGGAGTAGCTTCCTGAGTTGTTGGGCTCTCAGAATGCAGGAAAGTTTGCAGAACTTAGCTTCTCCAATTTATAGGCCCCTCTGCTTCCTTTCCCTGGGTGACATGGGTGGAGCCACTCAACTTAGGTCTTTGCATGCCGAGGTCCCAGATTCAGTTCCACAGCTTCACTGGGGGGAAAGGTCAGGTTAGCAGGTGACAGGAAAGACCTCTGCACAAGGTCTCTGCAGTGAGGTCCAGCACTAAGGGCCTTCTGGTGGTTCCCTCCCTGCGAAAAGTGAAGTTACAGGGAACCGGCAGAGGGCCTTCTCGGTAGTGGCGCCCTCCCTGCGGAATACCCTTCCATCAGATGTCAAGGAAATAAACAACTATGTGACTTTTAGAAGACATCTGATGGCAGCCCCGTGGAGGGAAGTTTATAAAGTTTGATGTTTTATTATGTTTTTATATGTGTTGGTAGCTGCCAAGAGTGGCTGGGGCAACCAGTCAGATGGGCAGTGTATAAATTATTTATTATTATTATTATTATTATTATTATTATTACTATTATTACAGTGGTACCTCTAGATGCGAACAGAATCCGTTCCGGAGTTCCGTTTGCCTCTAGAAGCAAACGTAACTAGCGACGGCACGTCTGCGCATGCACGCGTTGTTTTCTGCCGCTTCTGCGCATGCGTGTGACTTCATTTTGAGTGTCTGCGCATGCGAAAGCGGCGAAACCCAGAATTAATGCGCTCCGTTACTGGGTTGCCGTGGAGCGCAACTCGAACGCGCTCAACCTGAAGCGCATTCAACCCGAGGTATGACTGTATTATTCTTATTATGAGGTATTATCAGACCTCAGGGGTGCAGCCCGGCCAGGCAAAAACCCTCTAGGAAGTGTGCAAAGCAGGGCTGGCAACATATGGCCTAGGAAGAGAGAGCATGCCTGGGCCAACGGTCTGCCTCAGTGTAAGGCGGTTTCGTACAGTTCCCTGTGTGGCGTAGACCTGAGCGTCCCTCGTGCTGTTTACTCCGTTGGGTTTCCCGCTCCGGCCTCAGAGCCGGTAACCAAGCATAGAAATGTGCGTGGTCTCTCTGCTTGCTTAATTGCTGCTTTTCTGCTCCCGAGAGCCCAGGCACCTTGCAGCTGGTAAACAAGTCACTTGCGACGCCTTCAGCAAAGCGTTCCCAAACCTTCCTCCTTCCTTCAGCAGGGCAAACAGTTCTGAGGCTGTTTGGTTGCTTCAGCCCTGCCCAAAAGAAGACTTTCTTGGCAGCTGGGTCTTTGCAAAGTGGGACTCTGGCAGGCCTGCAGAACCACAGAGCGTTCTAGCAAGACTGTTCTGCTTTCTGCCAGGGGGTGCAGGCGTTCCTAGTCCATCTAATGGGTTCCCACACAAAGCGGCGCTTCTTAGGATTTTGCAGCCATGGAGAGCCTTATTAGCAGCCCCAGGAGCTGGGGCTGCTAATAACCAGCACTTCGAATTTCACCCTGCAGCAAAAATTGCGATTCAGTGCAATGGGCTGTCGACGGCTCCAAGCCGCGGCAGCAGTGGTTCTGAATTCCAGCTGCTGGAAAGCACCAGAGGGAAGAGTTCCTCTTGTGCTTAAATCCTGCTTGCTGGCATCTGCTTGGCTATTGCAAAAACAGGATGCACAGTGTGTGGGCCATTGGCCTCATCCAGCGGGCTCTCCTTACGGCTAGAGGGCTGGTGGTTGCTTGTTCTCTCGGACCCACTTGTGCCAGAAGCTGCTCTGACCTTGGTCTGCGCTCAAAATCACTGTAGAGTTGGAAGGGACCCCGAGGGTCATCTAGTCCAACCCCCCCTGCAACGCAGGCATTATTAAGTTATTGTAGTGCCTAAATCCCCACTGCCTTACATCTTGCAGCTCCTGTTGCCCCAGAGGAAGTGGGGAGCGAAGCCCCTGCTGACCCCGTGAGCCTCACTTGGGGCGTCCCCATGACACACTCCTACATCATCTGGCCCGCAGGAAACGGCATGGAAAGGACCTTGGCCTCCCTTTTAAGCTAAGGATTGAGACGGGTTGGACAGAGCTGCCGGTCCCAATCCCCCTCCGAGCCCTTCTGCCTCGCTCACCCATTCAGAAATGAAATGGTTTCTCTTCCAAGAGGGTTGGCGCGCTGGTCAGATATTGAAGAAGGCCTGTGATTTGACCTTGGTCAAATTCTGTCAAATATTCTGAGAATGCCAACTTATTGGTGGCAGCTCAAGGGTCCGGTCCCCCTCCCCCAGGTTTTGTGATGATGCCCATATCTTTGCAATGGCAGGTATAGGGCCTCCGCCCCACATCCTTGCAGCAGTCAGGAGCAGATTCAGCATTATATGAAAGCTTCTCTTTCTGGTCACGGCCAGTGGCTCCTGACAGGGGTGCCAGCCATCTTCAGATGCAAACGGCCACCCCCTGACTCCCATTTTGCTTGCTGCAGGGAACGCAGGCTGCTCTCCCCTTTCCCATGTGGGTCTGCCTTACATCGGCCTGGAAATATCTTTCAGCTTTCAAAACGTCAATTGCATTGTTTCGCAGTAACCGTTAACGGCTTTGGGGTTCTTTTTTCTTGTAATTAGTGTGACCATCAAAATCTGTAGATGATGAAAGTACCCTCTCTTTTTTTGTTGCTGTTGTTGTAATAAAGTGAATGCTTGAAAAATATTTGACCATTATTTGACCAACGTTCGAACAAGCCAGGTGACCCAAGTCTTTCTTTTTCTTCCGAATCCTTCACATACCCAGCTCTTGACTTTCAGGATAAAGGGGGTTGCATTGCTGGCTTTCTGCCCTGCACCACTTCCATCCCCATGCCATTTCTTCTCTCCTGCCATTGCTCTTATGGGACGTGGGTGGCGCTGTGGGTTAAACCACAGAGCTTAGGACTTGCCGATCAGAAGGTCGGCGGTTCGAATCCCCGCGACGGGGTGAGCTCCTGTTGCTCAGTCCCTGCTCCTGCCAACCTAGCAGTTCAAAAGCACGTCAAAGTGCAAGTAGATAAATAGGTACCGCTTCGGCGGGAAGGTAAACGGCGTTTCCGTGCGCTGCTCTGGTTCGCCAGAAGCGGCTTAGTCCTGCTGGCCACATGACCCAGAAGCTGTACGCCGGCTCCCTCGGCCAGTAAAGCGAGATGAGCGCCGCAACCCCAGAGTCGGCCACGACTGGACCTAATGGGCAGGGGTCCCTTTACCTTTTTACCATTGCTCTAATTTTGGGTGGCATTAAGAATTCAGTGCCTCTGGCTAAGCTAGGTTGGGAGCTGGGGAGCCTTGGGGAACATTGTGTCATGTAGTGTTCTTACATAACTGGCCGATCGCTTTCCCTTCGTTGGTGAGCAGGCAGAACTAGGAGACTCTTTGCAATCGCACTCGGCATCCTGGCTCGTGCTTGGATGTTTTTTGCATTTTGACTTCTGGGAAGGCCAGTCCTCTCCCACCTGACTCCCAGGAAAGGATCTGCCCGGTTACACGGGCATCAGCTCCCCGGCGTAGCCAATCAGGGAGGCTTCGTTAGCACGGAACTCGGTCGGCATAGAAGATTAAGGGGGCAGCTATCTGATTGGTCACAAATAGCTGAGGGAGGGGACGGAGGGCGAAGAGCCTTAGCGAGCGGTGGAATTAACCAGCCAATTCATTCTGCCCTAGATTCGATGCGGACGAATGGGCTCGTTCATCATCCTATTACGTATGCCTCCTCCGGCCCGTCCTTCTCTTCTTAGCAAGAGCTTTGCCAAAGTCCAGTAATCCTGACGTCCTTTCCTGCAAGGAAATAGCTGTATCTGTTACCCGTATCGCCGCTGGTTAGTGGAGGCCGGCCGAGAACCCTTCCCTGACCATAAAGGCAGTGGGTGGCAGAAGGGATGTTCTTCAAGGGTCAGAAAGCTGTATCTCTGCTGCCAGGGTTCATGGTACAGCGATCTCTCCACGCTGGAATCTTTTGGACACCAAATTTAACTGATAAGAGGACTTTGTCCTCCTAGCCCTTCTCCCGTTAACCCCAGTCGATGGAGATCGGCTGCGGTTATTCAGTGGAGAAGAGGAGCGCACTCGCTTCACCACCTCACGTGTCCCTAGCCTTAGCTAGTACGTTTCCGAGCACAATTCAAAGTGTTGGTGCTGACCTTTAAAGCCCTAAACGGCCTCGGTCCTGTATACCTGAAGGAGCGTCTCCACCCCCATCGTTCAGCCCGGACACTGAGGTCCAGCTCTGAGGGCCTTCTGGCGGTTCCCTCATTGCGAGAAGTGAGGTTACAGGGAACCAGGCAGAGGGCCTTCTCGGTAGTGGCGCCCACCCTGTGGAACGCCCTCCCTTCAGATGTGAAGGAAATAAGCAGCTATCCTATCTTTAAAAGACATCTGAAAGCAGCCCTGTTTAGGGAAGTTTTTAATATTTAACGCTGTACTGTTTTTAACACTTGATTGGGAGCCGCCCAGAGTGGCTGGGGAAACTCAGCCAGATGGGCGGGGTATAAATAATAAATTATTATTATTATGTTATTATTAGCTCTGACACTGAAGTCATGTTTCGGGGTGAACCTGAGCATCCTGTTTGCAGAGGGGCAGGGGCTCCCATGAGCAGAACAGAGTGTTTCAGTTCGGGGGCAAATTCATAGCGGAGGAGGCTCTCCGTGGCTACTGGCCCCTGGTGGCTGTGGTCTGCCTGCAAACTGGGAGGCTGCCATGCTTCTGAATTGCAGAAGGAGAGAAGTAGCTCCTGTGCTCGAATCCTGTTTGCAGGGCATCTTGTTGACCACTGTGAAAACAGGATGCTGGACTTAAGTGGGCCATTGGCCTGACCCAGCCGGCTCCTCTTGTGTCCTTACATGCCTACTCAATCCAAATTCTGCACCAATAAAGGATGATTTCTGCGACCGGCGTGGATTAGGTACATTGACAGAACGTGCACAACTCGTCTTCTGTTTCCTGATCTCCGGTTCTAGATTTGCTAGTTGCGGGTCAGGAGCTTTGCTGCTCACCGAAGCTACGGAAATCCCATCCAGCCCTCTTCCTGCCCTGCTGAGATGCCAGCAGCAGAGACACAGCCATAAGGGCTAGGCCTCGATTCTTTTAAATAATGAAAAAGACAGTTCTCAGAGAGCTGAATTCTGCAAACTGGATGCTTTATTTGTGAAACTGCAGACACAATCCTGACCGCTCCAGAATGTCACTTCGTCTCAGTGATCTATCAAACGCCGAGCCCAAGGAGGTCATGTGACAATCTCTTCCTCCCTCCCCCCCCCTCTCAATATGACTGGGGGCTTTTGGAATGCCCTGGGGAGATTAACTGTGTGTTTGGAGTGGGGAGGCCTCCAGCCCCGAGGTCAGTGCTGCCCACTGCAAATTCAAGCCCAGCACTGGGTGTGCTTCTGCTGGTCGTCCTAGACTGCTCCTGGACATTAACGCTTGCCAGTAGGGACTGTGCATGCGCTTCTTACTTCTGCCACGGGGCCCCAGCGAAGCCATTGCAGCACTCGGTCGGGACACAGTGGGACTGAAGCCAGGTTGCTGTCTAGGCAGGGCCTGACGTGTGCCCGCCTTTCTACCAGCTGGGACTGAGAGAGCGTGATGGCGAACTCTGCCCCGTGGCGCTGACTACATCCTTCTGATCTGGCTCAGTGGGCCTGGAGCCCTGCAGGTGGAGGCCATTCCAGCCCAGTTTCCTGCTCCCTCGGTGACCAGCCAGATGCCACAACAGACCCTGTGGCATCCCTCTCCCCATTGAGAGACATACTGTCTCTGCTGCTGGGTGGCATCTCTGGGCATGAGCGGGACTCTGCCTCGCTCGGCCTTGCATTCCCCACCTGCAATTTGGGAAGGGTACAGTGGACGCTCAGGTTGCGAATGTGATCCGTGCGGGATGCACGTTCGCAACCCGCAGTGTTCGCAACCCACGTCTGCTCATGCGCGGGTTGCGATTCTGCGCTTCTGCCCATGCACAAAGCACGATTTAGCGCTTCTGTGCATGCGTGACCACCAAAATCCGGAAGTACAGTGGTACCTCTGGATGTGAACGGGATCTGTTCCAGAGCCCCGTTCGCATCCAGAAGCGAATGCAACCCTAGTCTGCACGGGTTGCGATTCGCCGCTTATGCGCATGACCTCATTTTGACCATCTGCGCATGAGCGAGCGGCAAAACCTGGAAGTAACGTGCTATGTTACTTCCAGGTCACCACACCCCGCAACCCAAAAATACTTATCCCAAAGCTACTTCAACATGAAGTATGACTGTAACCCGTTCCGGTACTTCCGGGTTTCGGCAGTCCACAGCCCAAAACACCGCAACCTGAAGCAGCTGTAACGCAAGGTATGACTGTACTCCCGGTCGCATACAGAGAGGAATACATTGGCCTTCTAAAGCATTACATAAATGAGGCGTGCCACATGCTACCCGCTTTGCCTTGCGGCTCTTAGAGAAGCTTGCGGCACCCCCTTTTCTCCCCCCCCCCACTCTTCAGCTCCTTCCTTCTCTGCTGGGAGCCCTGACATCCTCTCCCATTAATGGGGCCGATCAGTCGCTCCCTCCAGCTGTCACAGGCGATAGCATCTATTTTTATTTGTGTGTGTGTGTGTATTCCCTTTAAAGCGCAGGAGCGTTCTTACCTTCCACGTGGCCTGAATTAGGGGAAATGGACAGGAGGGACCGGGCCTGTTTAAAAATTAAAGCTGATTACAAGGCATTAACGTTGCATTTAAAGGAATAGATGGCCGTCCTCGGGTGCTCGCCGCCCGCTGCAATATGTTCCCTCCTGCTCTGCGCCAAGGAATAGCAGCCTGCGCTGTTGACGGGAGGAGAAGCTGGCAGCCATTTTGGGCCTCAGCAAGCGGGAGACCTCAGAAAGCGTTTGGGAGGTTTTTTGGGCCGCTGTCCCTTCAGAGAGGCCGCTGGTCCTCTCTCAGCAGCTAGAGGGGCTTTCTTTTCAGGGTGAGCGTCAAGTCAGATAATCGGGTCCTTCTTCCTGCAACGCATGATTAAAACTGTGGAACTCACTGCTGCAGGGGCCAGAGATGAGAGAAATTCATGGAGGAAAAGGGCTATCAATGGCTGCTAGCCAGATTGGCTGTGCCTCCGCGGTTGGAGGCGGTGATGCTTCATTCTAAATCCCAGTTTCTGGAAACTGCAGGAGCAGAGAGTGATGCTCTTGCGCTTGAACCCTGCTTGCAAGTTTCCCAGGGCTACTCTGAGAATAGGATGCTGGACAAGACGGGACATGGGCCTGATCCAGCAAGCTTGTCTTAACGTTCCTTGCACTTTCTGGAGATTCTCTACATCTTAAAAGGGGTGGTGGGTATCCCTTTCCTAGCAGGGCAGGGAAGGTTGGTCACTCATGCTCCCAGCTGGTAGGAGAATGGCAATACGGTGGACACTCGGGTTGCGAACGTGATCCGTGCGAGATGCATGTTCACAAGCCGCAGCATTCGCAACCTGCATCTGTGCATGCATGGGTTGCGATTCGGCGCTTCTGCGCATGCGCGACCACCGAAACCTGGAAGTAACCCGGTCCAGTACTTTTGGGTTTCAGCAGTCCGTAACCCAAAAAACACAACCTGCAGCTGCTGTAATAATAATAATAATAATAATAATAATAATAATAATTTATTTACACCCCGCCCATTTGGCTGGGTTTCCCCAGCCACTCTGGGTGGCTTCCAACAGAACACTAAAATACAATAACCTATTAAACATTAAAAGCTTCCCTAAACAGGGCTGCCTTCAGATGTCTTCTAAAAGTCTGGTAGTTGTTGGTCTCTTTGACATCTGGTGGGAGGGCGTTCCACAGGGCGGGTGCCACCACCAAGAAAGCCCTTTGCCTGGTTCCCTGTAACTTGGCTTCTCGCAGTGAGGGAACCGCCAGAAGGCCCTCGGAGCTAGACCTTAGTGTCCGGGCAGAACGATGGGGATGGAGACGCTCCTTCAGGTATACTGGACCGAGGCCGTTTAGGGCTTTAAAGGTCAACACCAGCACTTTTTTTTTAAAAGATATTTATTAAAGTTTCAACATATTACAAAAATAAGCAAAAAAAGAAAGAAGAAATAAAGAAAAAAAATAAAAAATGAAAATACAAGATAAAAACAATTAAAAAACAGATTAGTCTTTCCATGTCTTATCTTTCATTTGCTTGTTTCCCCGACCTCCTCACACCTCCCTTTTCGTATTCCAGTTCAAATTAGTTGGTTCAGCAAATCCTTTCCCTCTTTAATTTTATCTTAATCTCTCATCTTAAAGTATAATAACTTTAGATTATCACCTGTTAACAATCCATTTTTACATATTCCTTTTAACATTGCTGCTAAAAACCACTTAACTTCAATCCCACATCATTCTAACATTCATTAATTTTGCAGTATTTCTGTAAATAGTCTTTAAATTTCTTCCAATCTTCTTCCACCGACTCTTCTCCCTGGTCTCGGATTCTGCCAGTCATTTCCGCCAGTTCCATATAGTCCTTGTGTCTTCCAATACTTTGCAATAAGTATTCTTGCTGCTGTTGTAGCATACATAAAGAAAGTTCTATCCTTCTTTAGCACCAATTGGCCAACCATGCCCAGGAGAAAGGCCTCTGGTTTCTTCAGAAAGGTATATTTAAATACCCTTTTCATTTCATTATAAATCATCTCCCAGAAAGCCTTCATCCTTGGGCACGTCCACCAAAGGTGAAAGAATGTACCTTCAGTTTCTTTACATTTCCAACATTTATTATCGGGCAAATGATAGATTTTTGCTAGCTTGACTGGTGTCATGTACCACCTGTATATCATTTTCATAATATTCTCTCTTAAGGCATTACATGCCGTGAACTTCATACCTGTGGTCCATAACTGTTCCCAGTCAGCCATCATTATGTTATGTCCAACATCTTGTGCCCATTTAATCATAGCTGATTTCACCGTTTCATCCTGAGTATTCCATTTCAACAGCAAGTTATACATCTTTGACAGAATCTTGGTTTTGGGTTCTAACAGTTCTGTTTCCAATTTTGATTTTTCCACCTGGAAGCCAATTTTCTTGTCCAAATTATATGCCTCCATTATCTGATAATAATGAAGCCGATCTCGCACTTTATTTTTTAGTTTTTCAAAACTCTGCAATTTCAATCTGTCTCAACACCAGCACTTTGAATTGTGTTCGGAAACGTACTGTAACCCAAGGGATGACTGTATCAGGAACTCAGGCTGGGAAGGGATGCTTTCGCCCCAGGGAACCGGCCTTGACTGCCCCCTGCATTCTGTGACTTGGTTTCAGCCGCTGCTGCCACCACTCAGGACATTTTTGGTGACTCATTTATAATGCATCAGCAGAGGAGAGACGATAATCGCAGCCATTTCTGCTGAGAGGGGAAGCCTTGGAGATCAGGAAGAGATGCTCATCTCTTGTCCAAGGAGCCGGGCCACTGGCACATGGGCTAAAGCTTCAGCTTTTGAGTTGATTGATTGGTTAATCAACTCAAACCCTTCTGCGCTGCGCCGGCCTGAGCTGCAGAAGACGGTCCCACTAAGTTCAGTGTTACTTAACTCCCCCTGTTCGCGGGTTTAATATCGTAGACCGAAACGATGCTCCCCCGCTCCAGTTAGCAAAAGGCAGAAGAGAGAATTTTCCTGCTCCACTTCTCACACGAGAGGAGGGATGGAAGAGGATTAGATTGACCCAATTTGCACCTTCCAGACTAATTCAGAGATCTGAATGCAATTATGCGCCTCTGAGTTTTGTGCTATGGTGCTCAGTTCAAAAAATTTACTGGATGGCATTAAAAAAAACCATGTGTATTAAAGTAAAGTACATTTTGAAATGTGTACATTGCATACATTGAGATAAAATACATACATAACACACACACAGACACACACACACATATATATAGAGAGAGAGAGAGTGATAAAATATACATTTAAATACAGAGGATTTAAAAAAAAATGTTCAGAGATTATTGTGGAAATGGGATCAAACAGAGCCCTGCAGAATTTGCCCTGGACGGGATTCATCCATTCCTGAACAAGGGGGAATATGTCTTCTGAGATAGCCCCCTCTATGCATAAAAATCTATGTGCCCTTTCTTTCTTCAAAACTGCAGATGATGCAAATATAAAGTAATAATTTATTATTTGTACCCCGCCCACCTGACTGGGTTGCCCCAGTCACTCTGGGTGGCTCATATAAAACTCATGTAGTGGATTGATTTTAACATTTCATTCGTCAATCTTAACATCGCTGTTTTTATATTGCCTCTCCTGTTCGCTATTTTCCTTCCCACTACAATAATTTGCCTGGAGAATGACTGAGGAATTTGTAAGCGTGCTTCTGTTGAAATTCTCACTGCCCAGGAAGACCAGCTGTTCTGTGGGGAAACCTGCAAACTTTGCTGCCTTTTAATGTCTTTGCCACTATCCCCAGTCGTTTTCAATGTGCTGTGCTGTGTTAGGCTGCAGGCCAGCGGGAAATTGCAAGGGTGGCCCACTTCCTGCCTGTCCCCCTGTTCTCGCTGAGCCTCTGAGCATGTTGATTCCTGGCTTTTCATCTCCCTGCTTAAAAGCAGGCTTTATTACAAACGAAAATGAAAACGTGTTACGTCTTTTTAGTAACTGCTAATACAACGTGCAGAGGGATGCGGGTGGAGCTGTGGGTTAAACCACAGAGCCTAGGACTTGCCGATCAGAAGGTCGGCGGTTCAAATCCCCGTGACGGGGTGAGCTCCCGTTGCTCAGTCCCTGATCCTGCCAACCTAGCAGTTCGAAAGCACCTCAAAGTGCAAGTAGATAAATAGGTACCGCTCCGGCGGGAAGGTAAACAGCGTTTCTGTGCGCTGCTCTGGTTCGCCAGAAGCGGCTTAGTCCTGCTGGCCACATGACCCAGAAGCTGTACGCCGGCTCCCTCGGCCAATAAAGCGAGATGAGCGCTGCAACCCCAGAGTCGGCCACGACTGGACCTAATGGACAGGGGTCCCTTTACCTTTACCTAATACAACGTGCAGTCATAGATGAGTTGTGATTTAGTTGTGATTCCTACTTTGCAAGGGGTTGGACTAGATAGCCGCTGGGGTCCCTTCCAACCCTGCAATTCTGTGATTCTGTGCTTGCCAGTTCTAAGATGCAGCTATCTCTAATCTAGTTGCGGTGTTGCTTAGCACTGCCTTGGCCTTCCCTGCCCAAGCCCCTATTATGAACAGGATTCGAGAGAAACCCAACACAGATAAAGGAGAGCGATAAATGCCATGCATAGTTCAAGCTATGGTTTTCCCAGTAGTGATGTATGGAAGTGAGAGCTGGACCATAAAGAAGGCTGATCGCCAGAGAATGGATGCTTTTGAATTCTGGTGCTGGAGGAGACTCTTGAGAGTCCCATGGACTGCAAGAAGAGCAAACCTATCCATTCTGAAGGAAATCAGCCCTGAGTGCTCACTGGAAGGACAGATCCTGAAACTGAAACTTTGGTCACCTCATGAGAAGAGAAGACTCCCTGGAAAAGACCCTGATGTTGGGAAAGATGGAGGGCCCAAGGAGAAGGGGACGACAGAGGACGAGATGGCGGGACAGTGTTCTCGAAGCTACCAGCATGAATTTGACCAAACTGCGGGAGGCAGTGGAAGACAGGAGTGCCTGGCGTGCTCTGGTCCAGGGGGTCACGAAGAGTCGGACACGACTAAACAACTAAACAACAAGAACAAGGGCAGCACTACTTGCACTGATGTGCTTTTGAACTGCAGGAGCTGGGACAGAGACCAGGACGTAAGAGACCAAGGTTCAAAGCCCCACGCAGCCGTGAAGCTCACTGGGTGATCCTGGGGACCAGCCACTGCCTCTCAGCCTAACCTACCTCACAGGGTTGTTGTGGGGATTGAATGAGGAGAGAGAAAACCATGTACACCACCTTGAGATCCTTGGAGGAAAAGTGGGATATCATCAACGCAATGCAATAAAATAACAGCAAGAATTGGCTCCTGCGCATCTGGGGCAGGTGTTTGGGGCCAGCATGCAAACTTCCAGGCCATGCACCAGAAATGCCTACGTTTTGCACCCGTGCTTAATCTCCTTTCTCCATGAATACCAACGGCACTTTCCTCACGTCTCTTGGGTGCAACTCAGGAGGCAAAAGGGGCAGAGAAGGAGGCTGGTGAAGTTTGCCAGCATTTGCTTTAGCCTTTGATTGGATGGGTGGCTGAGGACACGGATGCGCTGGCGTTTCTCTGGCGTGCGGTGCCAGGAACTGAGCAGCAGCTCTGTAGCCCTTCTGGCTGCAAATCCTGCCCCCTGATGCAATGGGGAGGGCAATGCTTTGCCTGCCTGCCTTTTTCTCCTCTCCCTCTCCAGCCCCACATCTCCCAGTGACCTTCTCAGTCCCGGGGACAGCTTGGCTTTGCTGGGAAGCGGATCATGTGACTGCAGTAATCCGTAGCCAGTAAACAGCTGTGCGGGGAGCTTGCAGGAAGAATCGGCCTCTTTCCACCCCACGGACACACGCAAACGCACGCTCCCCTTGCCCTGCAGATTCTGAAATGAGAACAAGAGGCCATGGGGCAGCCACCGTTGTGTGGAGGTCACTGTAACTCTCTGAGGTTTTTCTGCCGGACATAGGAACGTAAACCAACCCCTGTGTTGCAAAAGAGAATGTCAGCAATGTTTAGGCAACACGATGACCATATGCATACGTAATAATAATAATAATAATAATAATAATAATAATAATAATTTTTATTTATACCCCGCCCTCCCCAGCCAAGGCCGGGCTCAGAGCGGCTTACAAGCAATAATAGACAATTATTTGTAATAGACAATCTTTATAGAATTCCTTCAAACAATAACAAGTTCAAAATGAAATCTTAGACTTAAAGTCTTTGAATGAAGCAAGGTACCAAACTTTGTACAATGAAAGATAAGCTGTGAAGCTTTGTGTATTTAGCAAATATAATGTCCAATACTGAACAGAGATTCTGGATATTGACTGCTGTTTCGTAGATCTTCGTCAGCGTGGTGGGAGAATAATGTAGTCGTTATTACATGAGCACTGCTCCACAGCATTTGATATTTTCATTCACATATATTCATTCAAAATAAGATGGGTTTATGAAACAATTCCGGGACGCGGGTGGCGCTGTGGGTTAAACCACAGAGCCTAGGTCTTGCCAATCAGAAGGTTGGCGGTTCGAATTCCTATGATGGGGTGAGCTCCCGTTGCTCGGTCCCTGCTCCTGCCCACCTAGCAGTTCGAAAACACGTCAAAGTGCAAGTAGATAAATAGGTACCGCTCCAGCGGGAAGGTAAACAGCGTTTCCATGCGCTGCTCTGTTTCGCCAGAAGCGGCTTAGTCATGCTGGCCACGTGACCCGGAAGCTGTACGCTGGCTCCCTCGGCCAGTAAAGCGAGATGAGCGCCGCAACCCCAAAGTCAGCCACGACTGGACCTAATGGTCAGGGGTCCCTTTACCTTTTTTATGAAACAATTCTATATTCTCCCAACATGCTGACGAAGATCTATGAAACAGCAGTCAATATCCGGAATCTCTGGGCAGTGTTGGACATCTTATTTGCTGAAGACACAAAGCTTCACAGCTTATCTTTCATTGTACAAAGTTTGGTGCCGCACTTCATTCAAAGACTTTCAGAGACTTTAAGTCTAAGATTTCATTTTGAACTTGTTAGTGTTTGAAGGAATTCAACAAAGATTGTCTGTTATGTATGCATATGGTCATCGTGTTGCCTAAACATTGTTGACGGACATAGGATCCTAGGCAGCTGCCTTATAGCAAGCCAGACCAATGGTCCAGTATTGTCTGCACTGACGGGCAGCCGCTCTCCAGGGTTTCAGGCAAGAGTCTCTCCCATCTCCATTGGGGAGGTGCCGTTGGGGATTGGACCTGGGACCTTCTGCATGCAAGGCAGGTGTCCTGAGCTACAGCCCTTCCTCATCTTGCACCCAGGAACTCCGGCTCGCCTTTCTCCGCTGCCGCTAACCACAATAACTCGTCGCTTTAAGTTCCCCCATTTCCGGGTGCTAATTCCTTGCGCCAGCCCGAGACAGGAAGAGTCCCAGCAGATAGAGCCAAAAGGTCTATCAGATAGGCTCTGTCTAGGCGAGCCTTCTGTCTCCTGCTACAAGCATTCTGGTGGGAAGCTCGTAAGCAATGAATTGCAGCCAGTTCCTCTCTCTTTTCTCCTTTTCGCTAGCCATTGTTTCTGGGCAGGTCTCTTGAGCAAGTCTGCCAAACGGAGGAGACAGGAGGTGAAATGTTAGAGCTGACGGACAGATTTAACGAGCCATCGGCATTCACCCGGAGTCCTCTAAAGAACTTGTTAGAAATTGCTTTTAACAACAGCAACAAAATGCTGATTGGAATTTAAATCAAACTCCTTTGCAGAGGATTAGGAGACAGCCATTTTAACACCGTTTGCCTGAAAGGCATCTAAGGAGGAAACAGGAAATCATAGACCTGTCGACATAATGTCTGACCCAGGTTCAATTGACAGAAAGAATCGTTAAAACCCACAGAAGGATAAGGATCAGCATGGCTTCTGCAAAAAGAAACCCTGCCAACATTTTAGATGATGATGATGATGATAATTATTATTATTTATTATTTATACCCTGCCCATTCTAGGTGGCGTTCAACAAAATAAAATACAGTAATGCATCAAACACTAAAAGCTTCCCTAAAGAGGGCTGCCTTCAGATGTCTTCTAAAAGTCTGGTAGTTGTTCTTCTCTTTGACATCTGGTGGGAGGGCGTTCCACAGGGCGGGCGCCACCACCGAGAAGGCCCTCTGCCTGGTTCCCTGTAGCTTTGCTTCTCGCAGTGAGGGAACTGCCAGAAGGCCCTCGGCACTGGACCTCAGTGTCCAGGCTGAACGATGGGGGTGGAGACGCTCCTTCAGGTATACTGGACCGAGGCTGTTTAGGGATTTAAAGGTCAGCACCAACACTTTGCAGAGTGTGAACAAGCAGGTGGCTAGGGCTGATCTGGTAGATATTTTACTCTTGGACTTTCAGAGAGCTTTTGATGCAGGTCCTCATCAAAAGTTCTTCCAGATCCGCACTTGGAGAAATATTGGGACCAGCCAAAATGTTACGCAAGTTTGGCAAGCTTTCAGGTTCTCCAGAACTCTACATTGGGCACAATGTCAGTGACTCAAAGCAGGGAAGCTGAGGTCTGTCTGTTTTTGCTATTTATTTTGCGCTTTTGTTTTTGCTACTCTTTTTTGTTTTGTTATTGTGACTGTGTGGAACCCGGTTCAGCTCCTGATGGATTGATGGATTGTGTGACTTCAGTACATCGTTTATTGCTTTCATTTTATGGATCAATGGTTTCATTGGATAGTAAAATCCATGCTAAATTGGTGTTTCAGGGTTTGTTTTTAAAAGTCTGGAACGGATTAATCTGTTTTGCATTGCTTTCTATGGGGAAGCGCGCCTTGGTTTTGGAACGCTTTGGTTTTGGAACTGACTTCCGGAACGGATTAAGTTTGAGAACCAAGGTACCACTGTATGGGTGTTTGTATGGTTTCGTCATGGCCTTTGCCAAGTACCATAAAATCTTATTGACCTATATCTTTATAGCTTTATCTGAGTGCCTGGCGAGGACTAGACATGTAGCCTGGGGCAAGGCCCAATCGGACAGTTTTCACGTGTGCTTGTCTCTGTTCTTTGACCACACAAATAGGAGAGTCATCTATGAGCAGCCCCTCCTGCAATTCCTTGTTGTGGTTGGGCTATTATATAAAGGGACCCCTGACCATTAGGTCCAGTCGTGGCCGACTCTGGGGTTGCGGCGCTCATCTCGCTTTACTGGCCGAGGCAGCCGGCGTGCAGCTTCCGGGTCGTGTGGCCAGCATGACTAAGCCGCTTCTGGCGAACCAGAGCAGCGCACGGAAACACTGTTTACCTTCCCGCCCACCGTTTACCTATTTATCTACTTGCACTTTGATGTGCTTTCGAACTGCTAGGTTGGCAGGAGCAGGGACCGAGCAACGGGGGCTCATCCTGTCGCGGGGATTTGAACCGCCAACCTTCTGATCGGCAAACCCTAGGCTCTGTGGTTTAACCCACAGCGCCACCCGCGTCCCTAGGGCTATTATATAGACTCACCTTAAAATCTTGGCTACCTGTAACTGTGCTTCTGTCATTTTCTTCTTTTTTTGCACCGACTATTCTTCGCGCATTGCTCTGCCACTGTTGGTTATGTGTTAATAATAAATCAATAAGAATTGTGTTGCGGTTTTTAAAAAAATAATAATCAGGCAACAGGTAGTAACCCCGATTAGACACTACCACCACCAGCATGTTCTGAACGGATTGAAGTTTCTGGAATGTTTCCCCAAGGCCCACCCTGGTAAAGTCCCCACCCCACCCCACCCATGGATTGCACCCGGAATTCGTGCGCCTTCATTTGGGGCAGGGTGCCACACCAGGGAGCAGCACCGACAGCCGTACAGACGTGCTCTTCGCACCCCCACCCCCCCGCCGCCCTTGCCCAAGTTGTGAGCAAAGGGATTTTCTCTTTAATACCATTGAAAGGGTCCGAAATCCCAAGCTTTAGATTAACATGTGCCAACTAGATTAAGGCTAATCAGAGGGGCAGATGCGTGGGGTGACAGTCCCAGGCCTGATTACCATATCTCTGGGGCTTTAACCGCGGCTGCTCTCCCAAGGGCAGGGTCCTGCAGGGAACTTGCCCGCCTCTCCCTTTGCTCGCTTTCTCGGTGCCGAAGGCCGTTGCATCCAAGCCTGGGGAGCGATTCAGCATAATCCCCTTGGAGCAAAGGACGTTTGTGTGTGTTTTTGTGTGCATGCACAGACAGCTCCCGGTTTTTAAGCTCCCGTTCTGTACATGAGGCGAAGCCAGGCTAAATGACATATTTAGCAATGGTCTCGTTGCACATTGACCTTTCTTGGTTTTCCCTTTTACAGTGGTACCTCGGGTTACATACGCTTCAGGTTACAGACTCCGCTAACCCAGAAATAGTACCTCGGGTTAAGAACTTTGCTTCAGGATGAGAACAGAAATCATGCTCCGGCGGTCCAGCGGCAGCAGGAGGCCCCATTAGCTAAAGTGGTGCTTCAGGTTAAGAACAGTTTCAGGTTAAGAACGGACCTCCGGAACAAATTAAGTACTTAACCCGAGGTACCACTGTACTTTGTTTTTCCTCTTTTCGCTCACCTGTCCTTTTCCTTCCTCCATCTCTCTCCTTTCCTTTTATCCCAGCTGAGAGCTCCAGGCTTGCAACCCAATGTGCTCTCTCTGCCCCAGTGACAAGGGGCAAGTTTGGCCATACAGTCATCCCTCATGTTATGTTTGCTTCAGGTTGAACATTTTCAGGTTGCATCCTGCGATGACCCAGAAGTAACGAACATTTTCAGGTTGCATCCTGCGATGACCCAGAAGTTACTTCGCCTCTCGCGCATGCGCAGGCGTGCAAAATGACAGCGCGCGCAGAAGCGGGTTGCGTTCTGTTCAGGTTGCGAACGGGCCTTCGGAACGGATCCCATTTGCAACCATAGGTACCACAGTGGTACCTCAGGTTAAGTACTTAATTTGTTCCGGAGGTCCGTTCTCAACCTGAAACTGTTCTTAACCTGAAGCACCACTTTAGCTAATGGGGCCTCCTGCTGCCGCCGCGCAATTTCTGTTCTCATCCTGAAGCAAAGTTCTTAACCCGAGGTACTATTTCTGGGTTAGCGGAATCTGTCACCTGAAGCGTCTGTAACCTGAAGTGTATGTAACCCGAGGTACCACTGTATTTCATTTCTTCTTTTTTTTAAATGCAGCAACAGAACTCTGACTTTGGGATATTTATAGGTTTGCTTGTTCATGACCAGTCTTTCATCCTATGGTCCCAGGGCGGGTTACAACATTAAAAATAGTTTAAAACGACATACAACCAGTATTTTGTTTTGTTTTTGCGGGGGGACGCATGCCCCTAAACGTTTCGTGAATCTAAGTTTGGCCTCATTGTGGGGGCAGTATTTCAATATGAGTAGGAAAATGAGAGTACCCCTAAACATTTTTTAAGGGGGGGAAGCACTGTGTACAACCATAAAAATAAGATTAAGATCGCTGGCGAGAAGCTGTTCCTACAATCGCATCCCCTGCCCTTCACTTCTCTCCCCACTTTCGGGATTCAGATTGTAGGCTGTGTGGGGCAGAGTCCTTGTGCTCACGTGATTCCAGGACGGGTCACATGAGTGAAATCAGCCTTTGCCAACTTGGTAAAGGGTAAAGGGACCCCTGACCATTGGTTCCAGTTGTGGCCAGCTCTGGGGTTGTGGCGCTCATCTCGCTTTACTGGCCAGCATACAGCTTCCGGGTCATGTGGCCAGCAGGACTAAGCCGCTTCTGGCGAACCAGAGCAGCGCACGGAAACGCCGTTTACCTTCCCGCCGGAGCGGTACCTATTTATCTACTTGCACTGGTGTGCTTTCGAACTGCTAGGTTGGCAGGAGCAGGGACTGAGCAACAGGAGCTCACCCCATCGCGGGGATTCGAACTGCCGACCTTCTGATCGGCAAGCCCTAGGCTCTGTGGTTTAACCCACAGCGCCACCCGCATCCCTGCCAACCTGGTACCCCCCTCCCAAATGGTTTGAGATTACTACCGGCAGCCCTAATTGTAGTCTAAAACATTATGAGGTTGTTGATGTTTATAGCAAACCCCAAATTAAGTTTTCTGCTGTTTTTAACTGAATTAGCGTGTAGAAGTGTATCGTTGCATTCTGGCTTGGCTCTTCGGCTTCGTTTCCTCCAGAGTTGTTCCCCACCTCATCTTTCTGCAACGTGCTTGATCTAGGCTTGCCAGCATGGACCTGGGAGAGACCAGGGTTCGAATTCTCACTTGGCTGTGAAGCTCACTGGGTGACTTTGGAGGCTAGTCGCTGCCTCTTAGCCTAACCAACCTCATAGGGTTGTCGTGGGGGTTAAATGAGGAGCGGAGGAGCCATTTATACCAGCTTGAACTCCTGGGAGAGGAAGATGGGAGATTGATTGATTGATTGATTGATTGATTGATTGAATCTGTGATCTGAATTGTTTAGCAGGTAGGAGTTTAGAGCATTGGCAAGTTTTAACATCTAGCTCTGGAGTGTAGTCAGGATTTTTAAATTGGAAAAAAAGTAATTTGGTTTTTAAGACGGCTTGCTATAGATCATGTCCTGTGGAACGCCCTCCCACCAGATGTCAAAGAGAAAAACAACTACCAAACTTTTAGAAGACATCTGAAGGCAGCCCTGTTCAGGGAAGCTTTTAATGTTTAATAGGTTATTGTATTTTAGTGTTCTGTTGGAAGCCGCCCAGAGTGGCTGGGGAAGCCCAGCCAGATGGGCGGGGTATAAATAATAATTTATTTATTTTTAAATTCTTAATGTCTAAACCAAGGTTTTCTGTGCAAAACAACAGGTCCATCTTTTTGCTTCCTGGCATGTATAGCTGGTACGGAGGCCTGTTTCTAACAAAAGTCACTCACTGGCTCAGTTGAGACAGTTTGGAAGGCTGAGATGTAACAGTAAACTATGGTTTGATCAAGCCAGGGAGTAACCAACTGGATCAGGCATAGGCAAACTCCGGTCCTCCAGATGTTTGGGACTACAATTCCCATCACCCTTAGCTAACAGGACCAGTGGTCAGGGATGATGGGAATTGTAGTCCCAAACATCTGGAGGGCCAGAGTTTGCCTACGCCTGAACTGGATCAATGCAAGGGGAGGAGGGAAGGGGACGAACACTGGCCAATGGAGAAAAGCTTCTCCTAAGTTCCCAGTACAAATAAGTTTTTCTTTTCCTTTTAGGGGAAAAAGCAGCTTCAGAATGGTGGTGGGTGGTGATTTTCCCTGGGAACCTAACACTGGGAGAGAAAAAAATTAACTATCTCATGATAACATAAAGTGTTCCTGCTAGATCATGGCCCCTTCAGTCCAGTATCCTGCTCTCAGATGCCTGCAATCAGGATTCGAACACAAGACCAACTATCCTCTCTTGCAGTTTCCAGCAGCTGGGACTCAGAAGCACGTCTGCCCCCGACTGCAGAGGCAGAGAAGGGCCATCATGGCTAGGAGTCTTTTGACAGCCCTCTCCACAAATTAGACAAATCTTTTTAAACCATCCAAGTTGGCAGCTGTCCGTGCCTCCTGTGGCAGTGAGTTCCATAGGTTAACTATGCGTCGTGTAAAAAAAATTTTTTTTTTTAACCTTTCCTGAATCTTCCCACATTCGGCTCCATTTGGCTCCATGAATTCTAGCGTAATGAGAGAGGGAGAGAAACCTTTCTCAGTCCACTTCCTCCAAGCCAGACTTAACTCTACAAACTTCTATTACGTCACCTCTTCCTCGCGATTTCTCTAAACTAAAAAGTTTCAGAAGTCTCCCAACTGAACCACCCCACTCCCGTCGCTGCCGCTTGACGAACTGTAGAGAACTTGGATATGTTGCATAGCTTGGTCCTGGGGAAAATAGGAACCCGCGTGCAAATTTCCCCTCATGCTCATTTCTGAAAATGTTTTTCCTAAAGCACGGGTAGGCAAACTAAGGCCCGGGGGCTGGATCCGGCCCAATCACCTTCTAAATCCGGCCTGCGGACGGTCCAGGAATCAGCGTGTTTTTACATGTAGAATGTGTCCTTTTATTTAAAATGCATCTCTGGGTTATTTGTGGGGCATAGGAATTTGTTCATTATTTTTTTTCCAAATTATAGTCCGGCCCCCCACAAGGTCTGAGGGACAGTGGACCGGCCCCCTGCTGAAAAAGTTTGCTGACCCCTGGCCTAAAGATTCCTAGCATGTTTTTTCTAGTTCTGCTGCTGATTTATTGTGGTGCGGGGCTTGAAAGAGCAGCGCCCCCACTCCGTGAGTCTGTCTTGGACAGGCTTCTTCTTTTACCTGCTTTTCTGGGGAGAAGGTGGTGTTACCTGGCGGTGCCCAAGGGCGCCACGATCGTCCAAGAAAGAGCAACCAGGCAGGGCTCAGGCCTGCCCAATTTGGAGTTGCCTTGGATACCAGGTCAGAGCGCTTAAGGCTTAAGCTTCCCTGTCTGCACAGCAAAGTGATATGAGGACACACAAATCACATTCTGCCTCCTGCTGCTGCTGCTGCTGTCAAACGGTGACCTTCAGGAATGAAATCCGAGGTCTGCGGCAGACTCCCTTTGCCCCTCCTTCAAAGCTTGCGGCTCAGGGATTCCACTTCCCAGACCCAAGAATTTTTGCTAAAGATGTTTTCATCATCATCATCATCATCATAATTTTATTTATATCCCGCCCTCCCCAGCTGAACCTGGGCTCAGAGCGGCTAACAACAATAAAAGTAACACAGTTTACAGAAAATCACAAGCAATTAATTGAAATGCATTCTACAATTCACACTAAAATCAATTCAGAATCAAATTAATGGCAACCACTGGGCTAGAGTGCTATGAGGATTACAGAAGGAGGAGGTCAGACTGTGCCTTGGCCAAAGGCCTGGTGGAACAGCTCTGTCTTGCAGGCCCTGCGGAAAGATGTCAAGTCCCGCAGGTCCCTAGTCTCTTGTGACAGAGCGTTCCACCAGACCGGGGCCACGGCCAAAAAGGCCCTGGCTCTGGCTGAGGCCAGCCTAACCTCCCTGTGGCCCGGGACCTCCAATATATTTTTGTTTGAAGACCGTAAGGTCCTCCGTGGGTCATACCAGGAGAGGCGGTCCCGTAGGTCCGAGGGTCCTAGGCCGTATAGGGCTTTGAAGGTTAAAACCAGCACCTTGAACCTGATCCTGTACTCCACCGGGAGCCAGTGCAGCTGGTATAGCGCCGGGTGAATGTGATCTCGCAGCGAAGACCCCATAAGGAGTCTTGCCGCGGTATTCTGCACCCGCTGGAGTTTCTGGGTCAGTCTCAAGGGCAGCCCCACGTAGAGTGAGTTTCATGTTTGTAATGAGAGCCTGTACTGTGCAGCGCTCAAGAGTGTCAGGCTAGGACCAGGGTTCGAATTCCCAACTCGGCCACAAAGCTGGCTTGGATGGTTTTGGTCACTGTTTCTCGCCCTAAACTACCTCACAGGGTTGTTGTGGGGACTGAATGAGCAGGAGAAGGGAAGAACCACGTAGACCACCTCAAGCTCTTTGGAGAAAAAGGTGGGATATAAACACGATAATGAAATAATAGTAATAATGCAAAACAATAGCAACCATAATCTGGTGCACAAAGTCACAATTGTTGCATGTGGTCCTTAGAAGGTCACCCAGAAGGGAGGCAGCCACTGGGCTTAAAAAAGCACCCCCCTGGGCTAGTCTTTGGGCAAAGGGGCTCAACAGCTCTCTTTTATAGGCAGAAGATGAGTCCCTTTTCGCTCTCAGGTGCTTTCAAAAATCAGCAGCAAAATCAGCGAATGCTATTCTAGGCCGCATCAACAGAAGTCTAAGTGTCCAGATCAAGGGAAGGAATAGCCCCACTCTATTCTGCCTTGGTCAGACCACACCTGGGATACTGTGTCCAGTTCTGGGAACCACAATTTATGAAGGATGCTGACAAGCTGGAAGGTGTGAGGAGGAGGGCAGCAAAAATGACCAAGCGTCTGGAAACCAAGCCTTATGAGGAACAGTTGAGGGAGTTGGGGATGTTTTAGCCTGGGAGACTGAGAGGAGATATGCTAACCATCTTCAAATATCTCAAGGGCTGCCCCATGGAATTTGGAGCAAGCCTGTTTTCTCCTGCTCTGGAGGGTAGGACCCGAACCAGTGGGTTCAAAATACGATACGATAATCTTTATTGTCATTTTCCCATACAGAACAACAAAATTGAAAAATCTACATAAGACATTCAAAAACCAACAAGCCTGCTATCCCAGCTATCCCAACCTGGTTAGCCCCCTAAAATCTCTGACACCCCATTTTTAAATACAATATACTCCCATAGAGACTCCTTACACTGCATCTAGAACCAAAATCACATTTGGATAGAAGCTGTTTCTCAGGCAGCTAGTCCTAATCTTTATAACCCTGGATCTTCTTCCAGAAGGCAGGAGCTGAAAGAGATCATTTCCGGGGTGCGCACTGTCCTTCGCTATCTCTGCAGCTTTCTTGTGACACCTGGAAGCATAGATTTGATCCAAGGTGGGAAGAGGGCACCCAGTTATTCTCTCTGCAGTCTTTACAACCCTGGACAGCGTTGTTTTTCCCCTGACCGTGCAGCTCCCAAACCACACACACAGACCATAAGTTAATATACTCTGCACAGTGCAATGGTAAAATGGCATCAACAGGTCCTTTGAGAGATTGTTTTCCCGGAGGATTCTCAGAAAATATAACCTCTGCTGTGCTCTCTTCATCAGGACGGGGAATTAGATTCCAACTTAACCTCAGGAAGAATGGAATCGCCTTCCTTGGAGGTTTTTAAGCAGAGGCTGGGCTTCCACCTGTCAGAGGGACAGGATTCTCGCCTTGCCAGGGGGGTTGGACTAGATGACCCCCCGGGGTCCCGTCCTACTCTCATGATTCCATGATCACAGGAACTGACTCAGCGCCTTGCCCAGCCTCGCCTGACCCTCTCCCCTCTCTCTTTCTCCGCAGGGCTCGTCCAGATCCCCGTCAGCATGTACCAGACGGTGGTCACCAGCCTTGCTCAGGGCAACGGCCCGGTCCAGGTCGCCATGGCTCCCGTGGCCGCGAGGATAACAGACAGCACTGTCACCATGGACGGCCAGGCCGTGGAGGTGGTGACTCTGGAGCAGTGACGGGCGAGAGCGGCAGGATCATGGCACTGCAGCAGCTTCCTCCTCCCTTGTGCGAATAGTTTTTTTTCTACGCCTCTGCGGAGGTGCAATCAGGTGGCATTTGTGAGTCTCGCAGCTTTGGAAGCAAAAAAAAAGGTTTCGTTTAACAAACAGGAAAAAACAACAACAACACACAAACACACAGGGTGTATTTCGGAGCCGCGATTTTTACAGCTCCTCTCGGGCCTCGCGAAAGCAAGGAAGCCTGTTTGGGGCAGGCTGGGCCAAGCCTTCGTCTCCCATTGCATGGACCCTCCTTTCTCAAAGCCGGGGTGAGATGTGGCGGAAAAGGTTTATAGCCCTCTCTTTTCAGGGCTTGTTGGGGGGGGAGGCGGGGTCCGCGGTGGGGCTCCCTGCAGGCTTTCCTGGCCCAGCAGGCCCCCACAAAGCCAGGCTCCTCCGCCTTCTTCGGGTCGAGAATTAGGTATCATTTTAACATGGACATATATTTTAAAAGAGAGAGATAGAGAAAGCAAGACTTGAGAAGACAAACTGGGGAAAGAGGCTTCCTCTTTTTTTCTCGCAAAGGCGTTGAAAGGGTAAGAAAAGTCCTGCGGGAGACAGCGAGGGCTGCAATCTGTTGACTCTGGATCCTGTCAGGATGGAGGGACTGTTCCTCCTCCGTTCCTTCCTTCCAAAGTTATTTGGTGACCTGTTGAAGGAGATTCTGTCCTCCCTTTTTAAGTCCATGCTCAAAGCCTTCCCTCCAAAGCCTCATTTCCCCACTGGTGAATTTCTGCGTGCGTTTTTGTTTTAGACTCTCCTCCCTTGGAATGACAAGTTCGGAAAGGCACGAGGGAGAGACCAGTAGAAAGGCCCTGTTGGGTGTTGCGAAGGGAGACGGGTGGCATTTAAGCACGCTCTCATCGGCCACGTGGCTGAGATCCCGACCTTCAGCTCCTGGTGGCAGTTCGGGTGGTGAGGGGCTTCAGATCGCACACTAGATCCCACCCACAATTCTCGCTTTGATTTCCTTCCCCCGACCCCTTCTCCTCCAAATTGCACCTGGCACCCTGGGGCAGCGGCCCATCCAAAGACCCCTTTCTCGTGGCAGCTGTCCGGAGCCCTTGGCGCCCCACCCCACGGCCCCAGCTGCGCACATCCCCTTCGTGGCGGCCAAGGCCTCCCTCCATGGCCCCAGGGCTGCAAACTCGACATCAGCTGCCATGCTGCGCCGTGCAGGGGCCCAGGGTTTGCACGTCTACGAAAGGCATGTGGCCAGCGAGGCTGGGCACCCGCAGTCCCTGTGCGGAGTTGGCAAAGGGAAAGGTGATAGCCCCCCGCCCCAGAATGGGGGCTCAGGGAGGGCTGCCCCCCCCCTCACGTCTCCCCCAGGCATTTTTTGATAGCTGTTTTAGACAGGGCCAAGGCTTTCACTGGCCCCCAGCTAAGCAAATGGCTGCTGTTGCCTCACAGGTAGAATCACTCTCTTACTTTCCTATTTCAAGCACCCTTTCCGGCTGGGAATAGTACGCAGCAATTAGTTTCGTTCTTTGCATTCTTTTACACGGCCCATTCACCACACCTCTCCTTGTCTGTCCCAACCTTTCAGGGCAGGGTTTTGCTTTTTCCAGATTCTTGTGTTTACTTGGCTTTTTAAAAAAACAGAAAATCTCAAATGTATAATCACCGTCCCCCACCACCAACACCCCGGACTTAAATCGAGGGGAGGGAATCCTTCCTGTAGAAACAAAAGCCCAGGTCTCTGACTTAATTTTTTTAAATTTTTTAAAAATATTATTATTTTTTATCGTCGTCGTGAAGATGTCAGGTGTGACTTTACAGTCCGTGTTTCCTCTCTCTCTTTTTTTGGCAATGGAATAACGTTCCGATAGACTGAGACATTATTCCCCGAGACCCAAAGATAAACCATCCTCGTTCCCAGCCACCCGCAGTCCTGTAGCAGAGCATGGAAGTACCTGTTGTTCCCCCAAATTCTGTCTATTGCCTCATTCAATAAATTGTTACAGAAGTGTCTATAACTTCCCCTTGTCGAGTCTTCTCTCTCCACTCGGTGGCAAAAGGGCAGAACTTAATAATCGGGTTTGCGTCTCGTGTAGAACCCAGTTCCTTTAAAAGCCTCAGCGGGTGTGTGCACGATTTTTAAAACAAGCCTCTAGTCCACATGGAGGACTAGAGAGGCAGGTGGAAACATGGAAGCTGCGTGGATCGCTCCTGCACAAACAACAGGTTCCTGCTCACTCCAGAGCGAACGACACCTAGGACTACGGAAACTCACACGATTGGGGCAAATGATGCCAGAATCCTGCTGTTTCTCTCTTAAAAGGTAAAGGAACCCCTGACCATTAGGTCCAGTTGTGGCTGACTCTGGGGTTGCGGCGCTCATCTCGCTTTACTGGCCAAAGGAGCTGGCGTACAGCTTCCAGGTCATGTGGCCAACATGACTAAGCCGCTTCTGCCAAACCAGAGCAGCGCACGGAAACACCGTTTACCTTCCCGCCGGAGCGGTACCTATTTATCTACTTGCACTTTGAGGTGCTTTCAAACTGCTAGGTTGGCAGGAGCAGGGACCAAGCAACAGGAGCTCACCCCGTTGCGGGGATTCGAACCGTCGACCTTCTGATCGGCAAGCCCTAGGCTCTGTGGCTTAACCCACAGTGTCACCCGCGTCCCTGTTTCTCTCTTACCATTTGTTTGTTTCATAAAATTTATATTAAGCGTCCCATGCTGAGCCATCCCTCACATACCGCTTGATTGTATAAAACAGGGCTGTCCAACTTCCAAGAGACTGCGATCTACAACCACCATAAAAAAAAAATTGGCAGTGATCTCCCCATTGGATTGACCAGAGTTGTTCAGCTTTTTTGGGAAAGCTTCATCAAAGTTATTGAGCTTTTTGTGGAGAGCCAAAGCGGTTTACAAGCAGAATAAAGAGATGAACTTTCAGTAAGAACTACTACTATATTTTAGCAAAGTACAAAATCAGCAACGAACAGGTCAAAACAAAAAGCAGCAGTCCACATGTCTGGGGAGAGTCGTCTAAACAAAAACTTTTTTGCAGGCACCCAAAAGTACGGCGATGGCGTCTGCTTAACGCCAATATGCAGGTAGTTCCACAGTGTAAATTCTGCTGCACTTAAAAGGTGGATTTCTTACAAATGTCTTCCCTTGTGGTCTCCGCTTGTGCTGCCAGCGCACGCCCAAACCTGCTGTCCTTTGCCAATCTTCCCTCTCTTGCATGGCGCATCCTTAAGAAACAGGGCGGCGGGCGGCCTTAGGTGAGAAATATAAAGGGCAAGGCTCTGTCGTGGGGCACATCCTGGCCATGCACAAAGTTTCTGGTTTTAAACCAGGGATGGGGTGACTGCAGGGTTCGCTGGACTCCATCTCCCATCATCCCAGGCAATTTGTGTTGGGAATCAAGCCTTTATCAGGAGAAAATGGCCCCTCTCCAGGCACCCGGCTTGATCTCCTGTTGACCTCCCTGTCTGCATTCCCCAGCAGGATCCAGGCAGAGGTCGCAATAGGCGATCCTTCTCAGAGTGAGAAGAACACACCCCCCTCTTTCCTGCCCCCCCCCCAGGCAGGGGAGAGAGATAGACAGAAACGTATTTACATTCCTTTATTTCTGTCTTTGCAGCGTTACAAAAATCATGACTGCTCTCTTCAAGCTTCAGCAGTCGAGAGACAAACTCCTCCTGTACTTCCTGTACAGCTCATATTACACTCTGAGCTAATTCCGGTGCTTCGCACTGTGAATAGACTGTCCCTCTGTTTCCCACGGAACAGTCCCAACATTCCCATTATGTTTTGCTTTCAAGCTACCAGCAGCTCGCGGCTGCATTGATTCAATATCGTAACATACTCCCCCATATGAATCAATGTGCGCTGCGAGCAAAGCGTGATCCAGAGAAGAAAACAAACAGTTGTTATACATATAACACTCCCCTGTTGTTTCAGTTCCACCCTTGGAACTACCCGCCACTGGTTTCCCCAGTGTACCTCTCTGGTTGTCTGACTTCCAAGGAATGAGTGCATCTGCATTTCCTTGGCTAGGGAATGTAGTGTTACGCTTAGGAACTCTCTGTTGTGTCTTTGTCTCTGACTTAGACACAGCTTCAGCCTGTCTTGAGTTGTCAACAATAGTAACACATGCTACAGCTGAGTTAGCAAACTCTTTTGAATACCTCTTGGGTGGTACACCCTTTGTAACTCTCTCGGACCTGCGTATGAGGTGCTGATCCTCTCTGCTCACTGGTTCAGTCTCAGGACTCTTTGGAGAACCAGTTCCGATAGTAAACAGTGGTTCATCCTTCACCTGTGAAGGTCTTTCCATTGTGTGAGATTTCCTCTCAATGACTGTGTCAACTGAGCTCTTTGAGCTATCACTGTCACTCTCAGTACCACTGTAATCAGTAAAATCATCATCATCATCTGAATTGTCCTCAGTGGGAAATGTGTGAACAATTACTCTCTCCTGTTCAGGAGCACTCTCTAGAAATTTTGTGAGAACCACCTGACCAGATTCAGACAAAATTACTCTGTAGAGACCCTTTTCATAACCCACAAAAATGCCTCTAGCATTCTTTACTCCACCTGGAGCTTCAGTCTTCACATGAGACCCAAAACCTTAAAATGGGCAACAGAAGGTTTTCTGTGGAACAGCTTCTCAAAAGGAGAACATCCTAAACCTTTTGAAACTTTTCTCACCCAACTGTAACAAAAACACAATATCGATTCCGCCCACTACTCATGTGGCAAATGTGAACTCAGCAATTGTGCCTTCATCCCATTTTGCAATTCTTTGTTCACTTGCACACAGATACTTCTGTTCCATGCTTCTGCAGAAACAGCAGTCTTGTGCCTTATCCCTTTCTTATCCAGGAAATCCTGAAAATCCTGTAAAAGAAAAACTGGCTTTTCATCTGTGAAAAGACAATCAATGTTAGCATCATGAACATCCTTAACCTTGTCACAAAACTCTTTAAACCTTTCTAAGGCTTCTTGTGGTTTCTGCAATATATATACCCACACATAATGAGAGAAATAATCCACACACACAAGATAATATCTTGCATTGCCTCTAGACGGTGCTAGAGGACCAATCACATCAGCATACACTCGCTGAAAAGCTTTGGTTACTTGCGTCGTCTTCTGGACGATTTTCGACACACCTGCGAGAGAAATCATGTTAGAATCAGATGCATTACAATTTATGCAATCACTTTGATCAAAAGTCAACAAATACAGTCCATCTTTCTCTCTGGCAGAAAGATACAGCTCTCCATCTTTGAAGATTTTGCAGCTTTCTCTATCATAGGACAAAGTCAGTCCTTTCTTTGTGATCTGCGAAACACTCAGCAGATTGAACTTTAAATCAGGAACCAAATACACATTGTTAATAGTCAAGTTCAGACTCTCAAGATACACAGTTCCAAACCTGGTCGCTTCCTGCTCCTGACCGTTGGCTTGTTTCACTGTGAAGCTTTGCTTCTTAAACGTTGAAAACAGATCTCGCCGCGACGTCATGTGTTGCGTCACTCCAGTGTCCAAAATAAAAGCATTTTCCACTTCTGGTGTGGCTTTTAGTGACATCAAAGCCATAGCTGGTTCAACTTGGGACTTGGTACAACTTTTGCCTGACACCTCAGGCTTTGCAGAGCTCCCCTTAGCTCCTTTCTGTTGACGTGGCTTCTTACAGTTCCGCTGAAGATGCCCAGTCTGTCCACAATTGTAACAATGGACAACGTTCAAAGCAACAGCCTGTTCTTCACTAGCAATAGCAGTGGGGGTGTCAGAACTCCGAGCTTCTCTCCCCCTGTCTTTGACATCTATTGCAGCAAGTCTGTCTTTCTCATTGAGAATCACGGCACAAATTCTCTCCGTCGAAAGATCTGCGGCAGGTAGAGAACCAAGCTGACTTGCAACCGTTTTATAAGTCCGATTAAGGCTGTTAATAATCATGAAGCAGAATATCTCTTCCTCTAGAGGGAAATTGCATTCCGCCATCTGCTGGCGTAAGAATTTCATCTCTGTCAGATGCGCTTGCACATCTCCATCAGGCGCTAGCCTCAGATTTGTCAGTTTTTCAAAATGCAGCAGCGCTGAAGAACCAGCATCTCTTTGATGTATTCTACGCAGCATTTGCCAAATCTCACGCGCATATTCCAAATCCTGAATATGCACGAGTTGATCATCTGAGATACACAGAATTATGGCCGTCCTGGCTCTCACATTCTGTGAATTCCAACCTGGCGTTGGTGCTGCAGGGATGGGGTTATCAATCACCCCAAAAATCCTCTGATTCTGAAGCAGGGCTTTCATCTTTATAGACCATGAGGAATAATTGTCATTAGTCAGTGGAGGTGGGTAAGGTAAGCCTCCCCCCCTCCTGGCATCCATTTTTAATCCAAGCCTCAGCTCTCACTCTCGAGCCTGTAAAATTCCAAGAGTCTATTGGCTGTTTACTGCCTCACTTGGCAGCTAAACGCAGGCTGTTTTGAAAGTCCCTCCAAGAGCAGTGAGATAATAGACAAAACAAACGCTGTTTACCAGCCTCTCACAGTCCCAGCCCCTCTTCCGTTGTTGGCTAGTAACTTTCCACTTTACTGACGTTTCGTTGCTTAGCAACTGGACATTCCAGGCTTATCAAGACTCAGGAATGCGAAATATGTGGCTCTCTTTCAGTGCTGGTTTCATCCAAAAGCAGACACTCAGTGAACCGAAGAATGCTTCAATTCGCGTTCACTCTCACAGCCATAAAATCACCATACCTTGAGGGAATCCGTTGCTCAGCAAAAACACCTCCTCCGGTGCTCAGCCGTCCTTGTAGCTTCCATCCGCCCGCTACCACATTCTTTCTTTATCTCCTTGCAGAGGATGAAGTACGATCCATAAACCTCTCTTGTTGCTTTCATGGATCAAAACCATCGGCTCCATGCTACCAGATGTTGGGAATCAAGCCTTTATCAGGAGAAACTGGCCACTCTCCAGGCACCCGGCTTGATCTCCTGTTGACCTC